AACTGGAAAAAAGATATACATACAAACATACACACAAACACACATACATGTGGATATATATGTGTATGTATATATGGATATATATATATACATATATATATATATATCCATGTATAGGTATGGTTATATATACCATATATATATATCTCCATATATATATATGTGAGTATATATACATGTATATATATGGATATATATATAGACTTTACTTTCTGTTCTATTTTGCATTACTGTCTACTTGTAGAGGTAACAGTAAAGTAAGTAATAGTAAGGCAAAGGTGGATGTTAAAGTAAAGGCAAGTAAGAAAAGAATCACAGAATCACAGAATCACAGAATTTCTAGGTTGGAAGAGACCTCAAGATCGAGTCCAACCTCTGACCTAACAGTAACAGTCCCCACTAAACCATATCCCTAAGCTCTACATCTAAACGTCTTTTAAAGACTTCCAGGGATGGTGACTCCACCACCTCCCTGGGCAGCCTGTTCCAATGTCTAACAACCCTTTCAGTAAAGAAGTTCTTCCTAACACCCAACCTAAAACTCCCCTGGCGCAACTTAAACCCATTCCCCCTCGTCCTGTCACCAGGCACATGGGAGAACAGGCCAACCCCCACCTCTCTACAGCCTCCTTTAAGGTATCTGTAGAGAGCAATAAGGTCGCCCCTGAGCCTCCTCTTCTCCAGGCTGAACCAGCCCAGCTCCTTCAGCCGCTCCTCGTAGGACTTGTTCTCCAGGCCCCTCACCAGCTTAGTCGCCCTTCTCTGGACCCGCTCAAGCACCTCGATGTCCTTCTTGTAGCGAGGGGCCCAAAACTGAACACAGTACTCGAGGTGCGGCCTCACCAGAGCTGAGTACAGGGGGACGATCACCTCCCTAGCCCTGCTGGTCACAGTGTTTCTGATACAAGCCAGGATGCCGTTGGCCTTCTTGGCCACCTGAGCACACTGCTGGCTCATATTCAGCCGACTGTCCACCATCACTCCCAGGTCCTTCTCTGCCTGGCAGCTCTCCAACCACTCATCTCCCAGCCTGTAGCTCTGCTTGGGGTTATTGCATCCCAGGTGGAGGACCCGGCACTTGGCCTTGTTAAACTTCATGCAGTTGACCTCAGCCCATCGGTGCAGCCTATCCAGATCCTCCTGCAGAGCTTTCCTACCCTCAAGCAGATCGACACACGCACCTAGCTTGGTGTCATCTGCAAACTTACTGAGGGTGAAAAAAAGAATAACAAGAGCGACACGAAGTATGTATTGCAGTTATGACAACCACATGGCTATCATCACCTGGGAGAAAAGATTTGTAATATTTAGGCTGAATCACAAGGACACATAAAATCTCAGAAGACCTCAGAAAATATGAAGGTGTTGGTAAGCTTGGAGTCCTAACTGGTAGGTACAAGAGGAGATCTCAGAGAAGTTTCCTTCTCTGTATTCAGCCCTGTTTTACAGCAGAGCTACACGTTATGTGATGAACCACATCAGATGGCCTCAGGTACCAACTACATTCCCAGCCTGGAGAGTCCCAGTCTGTGTTGTTCTTCCTCAGATGGAAGCTGTTCTACCACTTTGATCACCCCTCTTACACTGCTCTTTAATCCTATCTGTAAGCTATATATACTAGGGGCAAAATATAAAGACAGATACATTTTTATTTATGTACTTGTGTCTCAGAAATAAAGCATTTTGAATAATTTTATTCAGCTCTTACCACAAATTTCTTAAGGAAGCCCTCAGATTATCTTCACAGTTGAACTTCCAGAAGTAATTAAGTTTTTACAAGGTTTTGATACAGGACCTGACCTAGGACAAAAATCTGCCATACAGTATATAACATATATATCCGGCCAAAATCTATGGGTTAGGAACCCTCTCCCAGTCTTTCTTTGTGAAAGATCTTGAGTTTAATTTCTTGTGCTGTGAAGTATTGGTCATTTCTTCATAGAACCTGCAGGGGTGATTGGAAAACTAATAATTATTTGGACATTCCCGAGAACTTGCACTATGTCCCTATAACAACTTATTGTACCCCTGACTAGGGAATATGATATCAAAAGAGTGGGTTATGATTATTTAATTTGAAAAAGTATGTATTGAGAGTAGGACATCAACCTTTTCATATTCATTTGTATTCTTCTGTGTCATTTTTCTCTCCACTGCTTTATGAGAGGTGGGAGTTTCTTTAGTACTAATCAACCCTTACAAATGCAGTACAGCTCATTATACCCACATATATATCCATATCTATAATTGTACATTTTCTTTGAGGTTACTGTGCAAAATCTCTTTTCTTATGCTTTGGATGAGATGGCCCTTGATTTTTAAATAGCATGAATCTTCCAAATTATACTCTTTCTTCATCTGTTTAAAATCTAATGAAGTTCAAATCCTAAACATCATGTATTGCATAAACATCTACTGCTCCAAATCAAAGACCCCTTCAGTAAATCTAAATTAAATTATATTTAATATGCAGTATGGATAAAAGTATCATTCATATAAATATTTATCATTAAAAAGTACTCGTATCCTAACCTTATGGGCTGGTGTCATTGTATGTGCAATAAAAATCTGCATTCAGCTAGACCCAGAAAAGGCAAAATGTTCTGTCCTAGACTTGACAACTGAAAAGTGATGGAAGTCACAGAGATGACCATCCATCAGCACCATCATCAGAGTTCCTAGGTCATTTCAGACAGTGTTCTTTTTGATTGTATTCTCAACATGGTGATATCAGCAGTTTCTTGTCTCCCATGAAGCTACTTCTAGAACATAAACATTTTTTGTTGTAGTTTTCGTGAATCGATGGGGTTCCAGTAACATGATTACAATCAATAGGAATGGAATTTTGTCTTGCCCAAAGTTCTATTTCCAAAACCTGTGAAATCAAAGTCCATTTAGGCAGATGAAAACCTGTCCACTTTGTGCAGTCCATTCTGCTCAAACTGCTGCAGCTCCACAGCTGTAGGAGTAAGGATGCTAAAAGGCACATCCCTGCCTATTCCTTTTAGAATCCAGTTTTATACCTGGTGTTCAATAATTTGTCTTACTACTTATTGAGCTTGCTGATAGCTGTCTCCCTCCATCACCTCCTGTGGATGCAAGGCACAGAAGTTTGCTACCTGCTGAATGAAATTGTTCCTTATTTTAACAGTTGACTATAGGTAGCTGGTTTTTGAAACACATTATCCTAGCTGGATTTTATGAAATGTCAGGCCTTGTATCCACTGATAATCTCAAGCATCCCCTAACTGCATGGAAGAATCTGCATCAGCATTTGCCATCCCCTTTTTCTATCATCTCTGTAAAGGGTTGCTCATGATTTATAAAGATATGTTTAAGATTCCTTCATCTCTTTCCTCATCATTCTGTTTACCCATCAATTTTAAAGTTAGCATGGGGTAATGGCTATGTAGAGAGCGTGTGATTCTGCTTAGTAGCAACAGCAGTAGTAATAATGCCCTGTTATTACTGACATTACTGTTGTTGTTTTATACCGCATTGTTCATTTGTATTGCATATGTGCATGTGTGTAGCTGAAGATCTCAATAACAGACCAGTTTCCCACTGAGCTGGACACTATAGAGGTACATAAAATAAAATAATAATAAAAAAAATAAACTTTTCTTGTGCAGATGCTAAGGTTAAAAAAAAAAAAAAAAAGTTCTTTTTCATGTAGATTTCCTTATTTAGAAAACTTCTAATCATTACTGGTTTTTGTTAAGCCTCTACTCAAGCACTGACTTCTAAAACTGAGACCCAGTGACACTTGTAAATTTCATGTAAAGTTTAACCAATTAATTTGAGATCAAAAGTCCTTTTGGGATCATCTGTTCACCTTCTTATCCTTCCTAAAATAATTTTAGAAAATAGATCTACTCTTTTAAGAATTTACATGGCCACTTCTTAATGGACAAGTTTCCATTGATACATGTTCTTCCTGACCACATATTTCCATGGGATAAAAAGTGCTTCATAAAAAACACAGGCAAATACTTTTGGGGATGTAAGAAGGATTAAAACAGTTAATCCAGGTGATCCTATGTCTGTAAACAGTAATTCAGAAGTATACTGACAGCAGCTATTTCCGCTTGTGAATTCACTGTGCAACAAGTTACTGCCTGGCAGCCACCAGATAAATACTTTCATACACAACCATGTATATTGTTGTGTAGACATTGTGTATTTTTACACATACACACACACGTTCATTTTTTTTCCTTACAGAAAAGTTGTAAAATCTCAGTGGAACTGCACTTAGCTCCAGAAACAGGACATACCCTGCACTTACATCTGGGCAGGGAAGGGTAGGTGTTTACGTCGGAAGCCAGATTGGGCAGTGAAGGGTAGAAGTTTGTCTAAAGACAGATTGGGCAGCGAAGGGTAGAAGTTTGTGTCTAAAGCCTGAGTGGACAAATTGTTATTGATCAAGTGCCATGGGTGACACTTCATTGTCTGCTTGACAAACCCAGCATGCTCCAGCCAAGCGTGGGCATGATACATTGATCCACTGGCACTTACATGGTTGTGCTACGAGGATGGCCGTGCTTTGGAAGGAAGAGCCTTTCCGAGAAGGACGTCAGTTGCAGCTGGGCAGAGGACAGCCGTGTTGGCGTGCCTGGTCGGCTGTGCAGCACTGAGGGGACTGCGGGAAGGCCCAGCGGGCATCATCGCCAGGGTGGGGGGCTGTGGCGTTTCTTAACCAGAGACATGAAGCAGAAGAGCGTTTTAATGTAATATAGCGATGAAAAGCAGGCTCATTCACATCACCTAGTGTAAAGGTGTGGGTACAGCCAGGTATAGCTCCCTTGCCGTGACAGTCTCCCTTCAGTTAACTTAGAAACTGCGACTCGAGGCGGAGGGGTGCAGCTTTTCCCCAACTCATCGTTCAGCTTTGGGCTTCATCTCCCAAGTCCACCCTCCCAACACGCCCCCACAGACACTCACACACCCTCACACACCCGCACACACCCCAGGGGCTGCCGGTGTGCGCGGGGCCGTGCCGAGCCGAGCCGAGCCGTGCCGGGGGCCCCGCCGCGCCCCTGGGAAGGCGCTGCCCTTCGCTCCGCGCTGGGGCCGGGCTTCCCCAGTTCAGACAAGTTCTCGCCCCGCTTCTCTGCGGCGGCGGCGGGTTGTGGTGCGACACCGTCCTGACATGTTGTAACTGGTTTCCACACCCACCGCGCCTCAGAGCGACGGACGGGAAGTACCTGCGAGGAGCCGTGCGCCGGCCGGCCCCGCTCCCCGCAGCCGCGATCGCAACGAGCCGCGACCCCCCCGCCGCCAAGGAGCCGCTCCGGAGGCGAGTCCCCCCTGGGGCAGCCCGGCAGTAAGTGGCTCTCCCTCCCGCTGCCCCGACGGGGCCCGGCCCGGCCGCTCGGCTCCCCGTGGAGCCGAGCCCTTGGGGCGCCGCCTCGTGTCCCGTCCCCCCCCCCCCCCCCTCCATCGCCCCGTAACCGCGAACGGGGGCACAAAATGGAGGAGGCGGCGGCGGCACCTGAGGGAACGGGTGGGGATGGGGTCGGGGTGGCGGGGGGCTGGCGGCCCTCGGGGGGTTGCTCACAACCCCTCCCGGCCACCCCGCGCCCCGCAGGGGGTTTGCGGGGTCCCCCCTCGGGGACGCAGTGGAGGTGGCCGAAGGTGGCACCCGCGCGGTGTCCCCAAGGCTGAGGCGTGCCCAAGCACGTGGCGGCGCCCGCGGAGGCCGTTTGGGCTGGAAAGTGAACTTCTAGCCCCAAAAACGGGGCGAGCGGGGGAGCCTTCGAGGGGTTGCCTTCGGGTCTGGTGCCCATGAGTGAAACGATTAGCTGCTGCCGGCCGCTGCTGGAAATTATCGTCTGCGATTCATAGGGTTCCTTGACACAGTGGAGAGCAGGCGTGGAAAATTGCCTGTTTATTCCCTAAAAGCCTGGCCACAGCGGCACCAGAGTGCCGGGGAGCCTTCCGAGATCCCTTTAGCACACAAGGGGGATGCCCACATGGCTTAAAGTCCCCTTTACCGAGGTGGCAAGATGGCAACTTTGTGCAGAAACTGGCCAAGTTTGAGCGGGCTTCTTTTGCGAAAGAGATAAGGACGTCCCTGGGAGAGCACCACGGCCAGGGCCTTCCCATGGACTGGCTGTGCGAGCCTGAGGGTAGAGCTGCTCCCCAGAGTTGCTGAATAGGAAATTTTTGAAATCCTGAGAATATTAGTAAGGCTGGGAAGTTGCTTGTCTTTAGCTCTAGCCTGGAGGTCTGTGCTCCTGGAACCACCGCATAATATTGCATCATTTTCTTCAGTGGGCACTCATCATCTGTTGCTTTTGTGGAAGCTGGGATACTCTGTATCTTCCTCTAAAAACACAAATATACTTTTCTTTCAAGCTTTCTTGCTGCATTCAAGATGGCTGATACACTGGACTGGAACTAACAGTTAAGCTTATTTCTCAGGGTATGAACAACAGCTTTCCTGGTAACATTTGTGGTCATGTATACAAAACCCTGTAAAGCATAGATGACATCTACAAAGGTGGGAAGATGGGTTTAACCGGGCTCCCTGGAAGCCTCCAGAGATGGGCCTCATTCTACACCACCTTGCTGATAGACTTGTGTTTACCTGAGGAGGTTAAATACTGATCTTTGAGGAATCGAGTTGATTATGCAGAAATCATTTTACATGGTTGAGGAAGACATCAAAAATATATATTTTAGAATTTTTTTAAACCTCTGTCTCTCTATCAAAGATTTTAGTGGTGTCATAAATGAATTTCTTATGAAATAGTTCTTGTCTCCCAAGGAGGAAAGTCCCTGTTTCAAGACCTCTAGAGCTTTTGTCAAATATACCTGAAGCCATAATTTTAATTTGAGAGTTTTCTTTTGTTTCTTCTCGTGAATGTATCACATGCAGATATCCTTAATTCAAAAAAGTAGAACTGGAATTATTTCATTTGTCTCATCTTCTATGATTTATTTCCATGCTGACAGATTTAACATTTATTTTCTTAAATAAATGTATACAGCTTTAAATGTCTTTTATAAACAGCACTTGTAAATCAAAGATCAACATCAAAGATGTTCCCTGAAATGCAACTATTCTTGTTTGGAAGATAGTGCAATAATGTTGACTAAAGTCTCACCTTTCTGAGATGACGGTATATTTACACCTTGCTTTCAGCATATGTTGTATGTTTAAGCCTATGTTAGTGCATTTGATCCATGCCCTAATTAATTAGTTTGTCAATTATAATAAAAAGTCAAACAATATACTGTACTATTACAAAAAAAGAAAGAAAGAAAGAAGAAAGAAAGAAAGAAAGAAAGAAAGAAAGAAAGAAAGAAAGAAAGAAAGAAGAAAGAAAGAAAGAAAAGAAAATTACAATATTACAAAAAAAAAATATATATATAAAAAGAACAAAACAAAACAAAAAAAGCACATGAGTCAGTGTATACACCTGTATGGACACACAGGCACATACATGCAATCATTTTTATTTGTTCATAACATTCAATGTTTTATATTGCACAAGTTCATATACTAAATACAGTCCTGTTCCCTTATATTATTTTTCAAAGGAAAGAGAGAGAAGAAAAAGGGATTTAGAAAAGGTTTTGAAACAAACACTTAGCTGTCTTTCTCAACTATATATATGCAATAAGTGGCAAAACTCCTGTTCAAGGACTATATCCATTCTAAATTAATAATCATTTCAGAAATATCTCTCCTTTGCCGTATTAAAATCAGGATTCAGCCTTTAAAGTCATACTAAGACTGTTTTCTTACATTCTTTGGAGTGATCCTAGTCCTAGTCCTAGTCCTAGTCCTAGTCCTAGTCCTCCTACAGCATACAGGGGTATGTTAGGTTCTCAGGCAAGTTACTTATATTTGTGTTCAGGCTACTCAGAACAACTCAGCTCAGTACTTCTTTGTACTTTTGGTAGTTTTTCACCATTAATCTAAATTTTCTTGAAAAGCTGTTCCATGTGATTACCTTTCATGGGACACTGATATGAAGCTTTTAGTTGTACAATATTTTAAGAGTATGACCTTAGAAATGGTCTGTTTTGACTGTACTGCATGCTTGGTTCTCTGCCATAGTATACCACAGGTTGTCATCTGCAACAGAACAAAGTGTGCATGGAAACAGTATTGTTCCCCTTTGGTAACACTGTATTTCTACATGTTAATGCAGTGAAGAATGAAGCCCTGAATATCTGTCACAGGAATACATGTAGTTCTTGATCAGTGGAGAGCCATCAGATCCCTTTCACTTGCTGCTTTCCAGTTCACCACAAAGAGCTACTCTGGAAGCAGCCAGAAACACTCCTTTCCCTCAGGCTCGAAAGCAATCCTATCTGGGAAGATCTATCCTGCTACTTGGCTGGGAGACAGGATTCAAATGGGATTATTTCATATGACATGCTGATGCCAGCCTCAGATCTGGATTTTTCTTTCCTTGTCTTTTTTTTTTTAACCTCTGACTTCCCAAGTTCCCCAGAAATCTCAGTTCATTGAACATTTAATTGCATTTTAGAGTACCGGTAGTGTATGGAGATTTTGATTTTCCTTCTGTAGGTTAATGTAGCTAACTTAAATTTCCTTTTAAGAAGATTTAAGCTATTCTGAGCAGATTGTGGAAAATGAATGCGCAGTTTTCAAAAATATCTGAAAGGTCTTGATGTGAGAATTATATTTATATGCCAGTAAATGAAACACCGTACGACTGTTCCTATTATACTGCTATACCAATAATTAGGCTTGCAAGGAAACCCAGTGTTAACTTTCAAACAATACTTTGTATATGCTTATCATAATTATTCTCGCCTCACTGGCTGTTCTTCCTACTTCTACTGTCTTTCTCCTAAGCTTCACAATGATGCAAGCCTTATGCCCTAGCCTTGAGAGATGAAACATGCATCATCTCTCTGTTTCACATGGCTGCGGTCATTCCATTCTCATGTAAATCCCCCTTTTTCTGGCTTTCCTGCCCAATGCAGAAAATCACTGCTGTTTAGGTTTTAGGCGAATAGTAGCTGTGGTTTCATAGGGCTGTACCAGTGTGAGGGAAGAGACACTGGCCATTTGTCCTCTGTCGACCTTAAATCCCAAACTGACGTAGCAGGAACCAAGCCTTTCAATCCTTGTTAAACGAAACAAAAAGATGGTAAGAATGAATTTATAAATCATCAGCAGTAAACAGCTTACTTATTATTAATGTTTTGAAAAAAAAAAAAAAAAAGGTAAGATTAAAGCAGCCGCTCCTTTTGGCAGAAGGGATGAGCAGGGTGGAAACTAGACATCAGATTGCTGATTCAGAGTTTGATTCCAGATGTGGGAGGAGACATCATTCTGGAGTTCCTCATAACTCCCTGAAATGAGGTAGGCTGGTCCTGCTTGGGAGCAACAAGTGGATTAGATCAGCATGGGAGGACAGATAGATAAGGAGAAGGGCCTGAATGACTGTGGTTTCAAAGAAGGCAGAGAAAAGGTACGTGTTGCATCAAAAATTAGGAAATATAATTGGGTTCTGAGGTGCCTCTCTCAACACTACTCTGTCAGCTATTACAAAGAGTTTTGAAACAGTATCTGTAGTCATGAATTGAAATATACCCTGGGTATGTATTGCTGTTACTGGTACCTTGTATTATGAGTTCTGCTGGAGCTTTTAGTATAAGAGCTTCACCAAGTCACTAAATATCATACGTGTTTAGTATTGCCTTAAGTAGAAGAAGCTTTTTAACTAGCTCATTAATAGTCATTTGGGAGTGGTCATCCCCAAGGATTTTCTAAACATTTTTAGGTTCTTGGAAGGTGTTATAAAAACTTATGGCAATATTCTCAGCAAAGTATTTTGTATAGTATCTGTGTATGTGTCTCAGATTACTACAAATATTCTGATTGTTGTCTTACTTTCCTGTCCTTACAGACATATTTCATCAGCTCACGAATGGAAGTTTAAGAGGCTTTATACAAAATATATGTGAAAATGGAAACTTCATCTTTGTTGTCATCTCTACATGATGAATGCAGATCAGACAACTACATTGAACCTCATTACAAGGAATGGTACCGAGTAGCAATTGATGCTCTAATTGAAGGAGGTTTAGAAGCCTACAAAGAATTTCTTTCCAAAGAGAGATGTTCAGAGTTCCTTGCAGATGAGGAAATCGAATATATTTTGAACAATGTTCATAAACTTCCCCAAAACACAGTTTATTCCTCTAACCATGCCATTGATGACACCTCTTCCTCGGGAACCTACTGGCCTATTGAATCAGATGTGGAAGCTCCAAATCTTGACTTAGGTTGGCCCTACTTGATGCCTGGAATTTCTGGTGGCACAAACATTGATCTGCTTTTTCATCCTCCACGAGCACAGCCTTACACCATAAAGGAAACTGTTCGCAAGATGATACGAGATGCAAGAAAGGTAAACATGAAAAATACTGTGGGAAAAAAAAGGTAGCAGTAATAATCTAGTAGGTGTCTTATCAAAAGTGTGTTTTTTTTCTCTTCCGGCAGGAAAAAAATATCTGGCTGCTAACTATTTAAACTGAAAACTTCTCCCAGGCTGAGATCAGTCCCTTGCTATATCATATGCACCAATGTTATTAGCTTCATTTACAAGGGATCAGGGATTAACTAGAGAGATTAATGAAGCATAATTACCATTTTACTATAATGCTGACCAGTCCATGAGAAATTTGTAGATAATCAGCATACCTTTTCTTTGACCTCACTTGAATATACCTCAGATGACACAGTTCTATCCAACTTCAGGATATATCCTAAGGTTTCTCCCTTGTGTCAGTGGGAATGAATATGTACAGTTGGAACATGCATCGGTTTGGTATGCTGGCCTGTTGTTATAAGAAAATAACAACTTTATGTATATGGGACTCATGTACCTTAAGGTTCTCAGCTTTTGTGATTTTGCATGCCAACTGTCATCATGGAAATTAGTCAGGAAAGTATTAGAGAGAGCTGGGAAGAAAAAAAATAGATTTAGGAAACAATGAAATGGGTGTTAACTAGGTTCCTTACCTTCATTTTTGGCTAATGCCTAATTTATAAGAAATTTGAACACTTCTCCAAATGTACTTGCCTCTGCTTAGGGGCACTTCCATCTTGAGTTTCCTAAGACTCAGACCTAGATGTACAAAGTGTCTCTTACTTCCTAGTGTCAAGTGGGTGTTTTTGTTTTGTTTTGTTTTGTTTTGTTTTGTTTTTAAAGCACGTAAGTGTGCAGTTCTGTTTGACTCAGCACCAAATTACCTCACTAAACAGATCTTACAAAGTTTCAGAAGTATTCCTAGCAAATATGCCACACTCTCCTTTCTTCAGTTTATTTCTGCATTTGGGCTCTGTGAGGGTTTAACTCTGTAGGACATCCAGCTCGAGTGCCTCTGTAAACATTATATTGACTTGAGTGTCTGTAAATGGGTGTAATAGAAGTGGACTGACATGGACGTGGAAGGGAAGGACGTCTTTTTATGATGTCTCTTTTCTATTTAGATAAAGTATATAGTTTGTTGCCACAATAGAGTTATCACTAGACCTTCTGTCAAGCAGTTTACAGCACAGAATTAGTCTGCTCTCATCACAAGGAAGAGAGGAATTGCTTTTTCCCCTCTGTGTCCCTTTCTAAATGACAGTTGGTGTTTTCTGGTTTTGGATGTAGTAAGACTTGACTTTTAACCTTGACTTGGCTGGCATACTCTTATCTTTTTCAACGGCAGCTTCTGAGCTATGAATGTATCTATTGTAAGGGAAACAAGGAAAATGGAGTTAACTCCAATGCCAAGGCTAGTTCAGTTCTGTTAGGTCTCAAAATGCTGTAAAGAAGTGTTGTTTCCAGTCAATTTTCACGGTTCTTCTGCCTGTTTTGTTTATGTGCAAACCATGCCCTCTCCAAGGGCTCTGTTGGCTCATGGTACTGTCTTGTTAAACATCATTTTAGGGAGTATGCCTCCTCTGAATTCAGTTAGGTAAAAAAAACTAGGTGTGATTCTTACCTCTCTGAAAAAGAAGTTTAATATATATTACATTAGCTCTCTGATATGCTGTGTCATTTCCACGTTACAAAGAGGATATAATATATGTGTCACTGTCAAATCTGACAGCTGAAAGGCTTGTTTAGTTGATCAGTAAAACCTCAAGATCAACAACCATAACACTTTTGATACAGTGATATGGGTTAGTTGCTTCGGAAGCAGCAATTAAATCTAAAAGACGTAGTCTCTTCTGTCTGCAGATACAAGTGACATGAATAGAAGAGTTTAAAGGATTTCTAAGTAAGGTAAAATAAGGCATTTAAAACATGCCTACAGCAGGAAAACACTTTGTAAACAGGCTAACCTACTTCTCCTAAGCCACTTTTAAAAATATAGTTATATTAAACATGGTTCTTTGTTATGTAGCAGTGGAGATGTGTAGTCATATGAGAATATTCAAAGGAAATAGAAAAAGGTCACACATGAAAAAAAGAAACCTGTAAAGAATAAACAAGTTCTTCAGCAAATCACATTAAACCAATAAGCAAAATCTATGGGAATTTCAGCATACTTCTGTGGGAAAAAAAAAGAGGAGTTGGGAGTATTTGTACCACCTAACTTTAAGCACCAAACCTGCGTGCCCGGGTTCAGGCACTGATTTCCCTGGGCTACCCGAGCTTGGTGCAGTGGGAAACCAACTCCTACAAGGGCAAGTCAGAGAATGTTTCTGCACCAATTTGCCCTATGAAGAAAACTATTTGATATGTTTATATGTATATACAAGCCCCAAAATTAATAGATGAGACTGAGCTAGTTGAAACCTAGATTCTTTTGAATATTTGAAGATATACAAGGATAAGATGACATTATTAGTGGACTTACTCTTGACCTCTTTCATGCTTGATGCATCACAGTGTCACTCCTTAAAATGATTATTACATATGTTAATTCTGACCTTAAGAAGACGTTGTAAACAACATTAGGCAACTTGCTGGCTGACAGTGATTTTTTCCTGACTAAAGAGGAAAATCATATGTAAGGCTTTGCTACACTAGGCTGAAAACGGTGATTATGAAAAAGTGTCATAAGGAAATCTCGTCTCGTGTTTCTTAATGTATAAGATGTAGAAATACTATGCATATCGCCTTCATGGTAAGTACAGTCAATATAATAATGGAGGCTTTTTACAGAAAAGGGTCAGTGTTACTGAATCCTAGAAAATGAGCCACTTCAAGAAGATGAGTCCATGTTTGCGATGTGTGTTTGTGAACATCTAATAGGGGAGCTGTGTCGTACATAGGATGACATTACATTACAGTGTATGCTACAGCACTTCTGTGGGATAGGCACGCTGTCAGAGTGAGGTTAGCAGAGTGCCTTAGGTCAAACCTAACATGCCAACAAAATGGGTTTACTGTTGGTGTAACTAGACCTCATCTCCAAATGATACAGCTTGCCAGCCGCCCTCCTCTGTCGACATAACTGGTGTTCATATGAGGAGGCTGTTCGCCATGACTGTGTCAGCTAGGGAAACAGGAGTCTTTTTCAGATGTTAATACAGCCGTGTGGGAAAGAAAAAAACAAAACAAAACACTGCAAGGTCTGTCTGACCTTGATGATGGACAGACTTTTGCAAACAAACCGGTAGCCTTATTTCTTGTGTGTTTTGGAGGCTTCTGCCTTTAATCATTGGCAGGTTTCCGGCTTCTCTGAAGCTTGAGGTGTTCCTACAGCCTGACTCATCCCAGCTGGGCTGTCTGAACCACAACTGATAATGTTTAGCAGTTTTTCCTGACAAGATTATTCATCTGGGAAATGGTATCAAGACGATTAGTCATCTGTGTCAGGTTAATGTGAATCTTCCTTCTCTTACTATAAAGTAACGCAGAAATTTCAATAATGAAGTGTTTTTTCTCTGCATGACTTCTCGTAAGAGATGCCTCAGAACTGTCAGAGGCTTGTACATGGGTGCAACAAACATCCCGTACTGTCTCTCAGGCGTGATTGACAGGGTGAGGCAGTGGGGAGAGGACAGGACAGAGCAATAAGGGGTCCTTCTGGCTCTGTTTTTCTCCCACTGCATTAACTGGATTCCTCTCTCCACCACTGAGACATTCCTACATAGTTTTAGAGAGAATGCATAGCTCTGAGTCTTTTAGATTGATATCCAAATAAGGATCAGCTCTTCCTGGAGAGAATTCAAACCTGTTTTGTAAAGAACCACGTTGTTTAGACAACCCAAGGGTTACTGCTTTGCAGCACAAGCCAGAAAACACTGAAAGACCTCCCTGACATACTTCTGGGATTTCTGATGGAGTGTTTTAAGTTGCTGGCTATTCAATAAACATGCAACCCAGCACTCATTTCATTTTATTAGCAGTCTTAAACCTGGGTTTATAAAATCAGTGATAGTTGTAAGACTTTTTAAAAAGTTATTTGCTAAGAAGGTTAAATGGAAATTTAGATAGTGTATTACCATTTTAGAAAATCAAAAAAGGCAGACGTTTTAGCTGAATTACTCATGGTTGTGCTTTTTAATGGGAGAAATGTTTGCAAAACTTGGACCCTTGGGAAAGAATTAAGTTACACTGTAAAGGAGTGTAATTTGCTATTAAGTCTTGCTGGATCCACTGCATGTAGGCCTTTAGTAAGTCACAGAGGACTTTTTTTGAGTTCTCGTGAGAGAGAGCTATTGTACAAAATCTAAGTATGATTTCTGTGTTGTGTTATAGAGCCCCAGCCCAAGTCAAATAAACAAAAACGGTTGACTCATTTTATAACCATATAAAAAGGAAAATGTTTTCTTCTGGTTTCTTTTTTGTTTGTTTGTTTGTTTTTCGTTTGGTTTGGTTTGGTTTCTTTCAGGCAAGAGTGAGAGGTTGTGTATAACAGAAAAAAAATGATTATTCACAGTTGATCTCCTTGTTTGATTAGATGTATAAATGCAGTAATCATGACCTAGTACTAGCTGCATTCTAGTATGAAAGAAAATCAAGCTCTTTGCATGCCTACATGAAGAGTGATGCCTCTATACAGAAAGAACCTTGTAGAATATGGGTGTGGAAGACTGTTGTGCAATCATTTCTTACTCTCTCAACAATACTCTTTGCCAGCTATTTTAAATACAATTTGAACAGAGTCTGGAACAATGATAATGAATTGTGCTTGTGGCAATGCTTGTCTTAGCTCATTAATTGCAACAGTCCAAGCAGATGAGAGAGGGGCTACAATTTATTGTTCAGAAAAGCTAGAGAAATCTGCTGAATCCAGTGAGAGGACAGGTAAATGAAATAGCCATCCTACTCAAAAAATGCTCTGTATTCTTTTTAGAGCATCTGATAAATGATGGATGTTTTTTTTTAAGTTCTCAGCTGTAGATGTATAGGTAACATTTTCCCTGCTAAAATATTCTGCCAACAACAGGTGCTTTTTGATCATGATTCTGTGGTGAAAGGAACATTCAGCATTTGTTTCTGCTCACCTTCTGTCAAATGGTTTCCCCGTATCTGAAAACCAGCATGGCAGTCACGTGTATAGTTTCCAGGTGAAACACAGTGGTTAGCCTTTGACAGATTTATTAGAGAGAGTGAGGTTGTGTCCCAGCTTTTCTAATCACATAGCACACATGCCATGCATTGCACTAGAACGTGTCAAATTCTTTGTTCTCCTACTATATGATTTGGTGTCATTTTTTTATCTGCTCACGAGTAACCATGTTAGGTATTTTACCTGCTCGGATTTGCCTTTGGAGTCTTCACCCTTTTTATCTGCTTGTCTCCTTCGCCTCCCACCCTCCCACTCTCTGCGTAAGCATAGTCATGCAAATGACAATACATACAAAGAGAAGAGGCATCCATGGGACACATTCTGTCCTTTGAAGTGACCGTTCGGATTTCATAGGGGAAAAGTGCAAGGACTGAACTATTAAACTGTCCTTAAAATTAAAGGGTGGGGAAATGCTAATTTAATTGCCAACAGGAAATCATTTTAATACATCCTGAATTTTTAACGTACAGCAGAACTTTTTTAAGTTTTCTAGACAAGAAGTTGGGACAATTTTGAGACATGACGGTTTAGGAGGGAAGGGATGTAAAAGAGCACAAATGAACACCAGGAGGTCTGGGACTTCTGTTAAATGCATTTCTTACACATAGTTCCTCTACACATTATTCCCCCCTTTTTTTCCCTTGGTGGCCCTCCCCATTCAGGAGAAGGATCAAAAGTTAAAGAGCAGACCAAGGCTAGGGCTAGCACAGGGAGGGGGAATCTAACAAAATAGTTTTCATCAGTTGTGGTGTTTTTACTCACAGGCTTCTGTCATATCACAGGTTTACAAGACTATTTAGCAATATTTGATGCTTGCATTTTATACTTAAAGGTACCATGGGCTGATGTATGGGTATTGCTATTTTTACGTCACCACTGTGCTAATATGTTATGAAAATATCGGACATCTATCATGAATTTCAAAATGCAATAAAGAAAATTAAAGAACAGATCTTGTAGGCAGTTGTATTTATTAAGGTCTTTCATTCACATATATACAAGAGTTAAGCACATACATATGTTTCGTAGGAATATTTTTCATTAAAACCTGTTCTCTCATTGACATAAATCTTTGTCAGGCAAAACAAAAGAGTGCTATTAAAAGGTCATTCACACTTTTTGTGCATTCAGTAAAGTGTTCTTTATCATATTCAGCAATACTTCTGTACTACAATATGCTGAAACAATTATAAGTAAAGATATGCTATAAATATAAAACCGTTGATTTTGCCCAGGCGTAATGCTTCTGCTAGTACCCAGCCCAGTGTATTTGCATTTCCCTCCCTCTTTTTCTGGCTTTTAGAAAGAAGACTAATAATGTTGGAAGTGCTATTTTTGTTCTTCTGAATTCCTATCCTCAAGAGATCTGAGTTTTCATAATTTTTTTTCAGCCAGGGAACAATCTTGCCTGAAGAACTCTAGGCTTAATGACTTCACATTCAGTATTGCCGTCGGCCTTTTTAGATCTCTTGCAGACTTAGCATAGTGTTTGATCTCTAATAGCTTTCCAACATAGCCAACAATGCTCTCAGGGATGGGGGACACATTTGGGGGCAATTTTAATCTTTAAATTCATTTGTCGTGAATGCGAATTGGGAAACCAAAATATTCTACTACCTATGAACGGGTTTTAAAGGAGCATATACAGACTCTGCCCTGCTGTAGGAGTATTTGTGTAATACAATGCAACAGAAACTACATGGAGTGTGAGAAATGCTGATGTGGAATAAAACAGTCCTGAAGCACAGAAACTTACTAGCTACTATCAGAAGTTCCCATTCTCCTGTTTGGTTGGGGTGGGAGAAAATGCCACTGAGTTATTTGTATTTAGTTCCCTCATATGTCAGATCTGACTACGAGTATATACTTCACTTGTAATTATTTCTGAACAGCTCTCTTGTAGCTGTGCTATTTTCCCCAAGGAGCAGTGCAAGAATTCCAGTGCAGGCACTGATAGTCAAAGTACACTTTAGAATTCACCTCTTCAAGGCAAGTGCAGACCTTGCCAATGATACCAGTGCAATCACAATTTTCCTTTTAGCCTGCTGTTAAATTACATCTGTGACTGTTTCCCAATAAAAAGGTACTATTCTGTACAATAAAAGTTATGGTCCTTGTGTTCAAAAAGGTTTTCAGTATGCTTGCGATCTCACAGGGCTTTTATACTTAAAAATCCGACCCTGATTTACTTTAGAGAGGGAAGAAGCGAGGGCCACCAGAATAATCAGGGAGTGTAACTGGGGTTGTTACTTCACAGGAGGTTCTACTGACATCCATAAAATGACTCACCTCAGTAGAGCTGTTCAAAATAAATAATTACAAGGCCCACCCAATGATGGCTTGCTTGATCAACAAAGTTAATAATTTTTCAGAATGCAGTCCACTGAAGTACTGTATCAGTAAGGCACTTGAATTTACAGTAGTATTATTTACATTATAAATATGTAAGTGGAAGCAACCAAACTAGCTGTCTGTGCTCCTCTGCCTTTGTTTGACATCTTTTCCCATATCCTGGGTGTTTGTTTTCTTAAGCTGTAAACATCATTATGTTTTGCTACAAGTTTGTATATCATACAGTTCAACTGGTATCTTAGTTGTCCCGATTGGTGCCAGCCCATGGAGAAATGCCACTGCTACAGTATAAACAGTAGGTTCAGAATTTATATGCTCTCCTTTATCCTTAGCCATCAAAGAACATGACCAAAGTGTTTAGAGTTTAGTAGATGAGAATGCTAAGCCACAAAGGCACTGAATTAATATATATCGCAGTTCAAAAAGAGCCAATTATAAACCAAAAGCCTGAGAGTAATATACATTAGCAAACAAAGCAAGTAGGGGCCAGATAACAAATTTTTATTTTCTCGTCTCTGTGGTTCTGGTTGATAAAACATCGTAATCGTGCATTTAGTGTTATATTTATGAAAACTGATGTCTGAGGAACATCAGTACTTCTCCAGACATGTTTGCGTCAGTATATGACAGTAGCTTTGTAGTGCTTACTTTACAAAAATATTTTTAAAAGTGTAAAGGTCTTTCTTATCTTCAGATAAAGAGGGTGTTTCTTCAAGACATACCCAGGCTGTTCTCATACCTTAGGTAAGAGCAGATTACCTTAACCAGTTCTGTCTCTTGGTCTGGAGCGCTTGCACTCGCTGCCCAGAAGATGTAAGACCTGAGGGAACCAGAACAAATTCCTCAAAACCAGGGTCTACTGTGACCCCTGCCCTCATCAGCGAGGCATGCGGGCACAAAGCTGCCTTCAGAAAACTTCTGTGCTGCACCTTTTATCCAGAGTTTTTTTTTGCTAACTGCAGCACCAGATCTCCTCAGGCCTTTTTGCTTCTGCAAGTGATCTGCTGTAAGAGATGAAGCCATGCGATAGGATAATATGAGAACTTATGCACTGTATCTTAGAGATGAAAAGAGAACTTTGATATCTGCTTCATCCCTTAGCAGTCAGGCTTGAACAGTGGCACTGGATTGTACATTCAGGTGGCCAACTGGGTGTGCCTTCAGTTCAAACAGCAGATATAACATCTTAGCCTTATTTTCATGCTGTTTCCTGGAGCTGCAGGCACTCTTTACCAAGCAGGCTGCACTTCAGCTCAATAAACTTCTTTTATGGGTTGAGCACTAGATAAAGAACCAGACATCATATTTTAATTCAGGTGAATCTGAGTGGCATTGACCTACAGAAGGTATTGGAGTTAGTGTTTTCCCACTAGGCTTTTAATGCTCAATATGTCAGGCATAAAAACGATGAAATAAGGTGAAAAAAGGTGAAATAAGCAGCACAGAAGGAAATCAGGTAGCTGCTGATTCTCTTAAGGGACCTTCCCAAGAAGTAAGAACATAGCCACTGAAGGGCAACCCTTTTTAAGCCAAGCAGAATTCACTGCTAGTGAAGCGTACCTCCCGAGCAGTGACCGTGTCAGCCAGCAGCACAAGTGCCAGGGATATATTGCCTGTCACAGCAAGCAGGTTTGCAGCCAGCACAACAAATGCAATAATAATAACAACAATATCTGAAGCTGTCTACTCTGCTGATAATTCCTTGGCACTACCTAAGAGTAGATTAGCACAGGCACAGAATAATTGCCTGGAAAGTCGCTGTCAAGGCTGTGGATTTGGTTGTTGTTGTTGTTGCGTTTTTGTTTTGTTTTGTTTTAATAATAGACAGTATAAGTGATTGCACAAGGACTATTTGGTAGGGTTCTGTAACCTGTCTTTGCTGGAAGGGGCAAAAATATCAGCTGTTCATTGGATCCAGCTCTTCCATATGTGCTGATAGAAATATACAGAAAGTTGCTTTAAAACATAAAGACACTATATTATTTTGCTCAGAGGAAGTTCTTCTGAAATGAGGAAAATAAACATAGAGATGAAGTTGGGAATTATGACTGATTCTTGTATTTGTTTATTTATTTTCTGTCACTTTGTTTCACCTCTTAGCACTATGTGATCACCAGGCTGACAGTGTATGTGAATGACTGGAATTAATAATGCTGAAATAGTTATTTTTGCAGTAATATCAGTATTTTGTTTGTGAGTTCTAGGCTGACTGAATTACAGTGACAGTCACTTGAACCAGAAATCATATTAACCAGATGATTTGATTCCTTATGCATAAGTTAAATTTCATGGCGGAGGTGCAGCCCTGATCTGAAGTGCTATGAGGAAGGACTGCAGTCTCCTGACCTAGGAATTTTGTCCCGAGTAGGGGCTTGGTACTTCTGACTTGAAGTTCAGGGGAATTAAACAGTGCCTTTGCAATGGGCTCTTGAGAGCCCAAGAAGTTCTTCTTTGTAAACTTCAGCCTCACTGAGTCAGGGCTCTGAGTGCATTTTGCTGGGAAAAAAAAGGAAAGAAAAGATGTGCAGTTTTGGGGGCTCAAAGAAAGAGATCTCTGTTAGTCTTTCAGCTGCTGGAGGCTATCCTCTCAGAAACCAGTGCAATAGCTAAATGCTGTTTGGACCTCCCAGGGGACCATAACTCTCTGAAGCAATCACCCAGGGTGAAAATGTTGGCAGCTTGGGGTTGATTAAGTCTATCTGTGTGGAAGGAAGGGGACAGCTTGAGATAAATGCAGATGGGCCAATATTTGGTTCAGCTGGGCTCTGTTCCACTCTGTCACACCTTGATCAGCAGTGACTCTGTGAGTCAGTATCAAAGGGAAAGCAGTAAGGCATACTTTCAGGGAGGTTAAGATTGGACATTTGGAAGAATTTCTTCATGGAGAGGGTAGTCAAGCATTGGAACAGGCAGCCCAGGGCAGTGGTGGAGTCCCCAGCCCTGGAGATATTTAAGAGACGTGGCACTAAGGGACAGGGTTTAGTGATGTGACTCAGTAGTGACTTGGTGATCTCAAAGGTCCTCTCCAACCTAGGTGGTTCTGTGATTCTATGACTGTTCTATGTGTACAGCTTCTGTAAAATGCAAGCGTTTCTGCTCTCATCCTCTGAAATGACTGTGCTTACAGTATGATAGGAAACCTATAAATTTTGTTTTTATTTCCCTCCCTCTTTGCCCCCAACTCCAGCTCTTCCTACCAGACAACCCTCTCTCCTCTGCCTTTTTTCCTTTCATCATGCACCTCAGCCAGAGGTGAGCGTTCACTGCCTGCTCCAGGTACTTTTGTCATCTTGCTTGAATGCAGTTCCAGGTGTGAAATCTGGGAATTTAAGCTCCCTCCTAAATCACAAAAGAAATGTGCCTTTGAGGATGCAAGCCTGCAAACCTGAAGCAAGCACTTGTGGTACATGGTTTCTTTCCCCCATCCCTTATCTGCCCTGATTAGTAAAATCACTTGATTTTATTGGCAGGTGTCAGATAATTTATTATCAGTCATAGATCTAAAAAATTAAGCACTAGAGTAGATATTTTCTGTATAGGACCATCTTATTTGTCCTTTGTTTTATTTAGCGATAAATTAAGATTTGAAATGTTATTTTTGATTATTTATTTATTTTTGGGGGGGAGGAACAATGGTGAAGTTTAGAGATTGAGCACTTGTGTGTCAGAAATTGCAATAGACTCATTATAAAAATGAATTGTATATGCAATTTGTTTCATTTTGTCAAGCAATACATCTAATAAAACTTGAAAAGAAATTTTATAGGCATTTAGTAAAGGGCAAAGAGAGAAAAATAATACTTGCTCAAAGAAGACACATTTTTTTCTTGAAGCAAAATTAGATTCCTAATCCTGAAAGGTTTTAAATACTTCAACTTATGTACATGAGAATTTCCATTAACTTAATACGCTTATGTGTTTGCAGGATTGATGCCTAGGGATCTGACCATATATCATTAAGATCTGGATTTTAAATATTTAAATAATCATCTTCTATTAAATTGTGCCACAAGTACATTTGTAATACAAAATGAACATGCATCTTTAGTTGATTTTGACTCTGAACAATTAAAAACAGTAGCACTTCTCCAAGCGAACAGCCTTCCTTTTTTAATTCTAAATAATATCTGAATATCTGAAACCCAAAGAAGGCATGGAAACTGGTAGAAGGTCTTCCCTTCCCAAAGTGCTGTTGCACCACCCAGTTCTCCTTTACTGATCCAGGCATGTGTGCACATGCACATGTGCCACAGAGTCTAACCCGAGGGAATGGACGCACACATGAATGTTGCAGAAGGGGAAAAAAAAAAAATCAGTTCTAAGAGCAAGACTAATTTCTCGTGTTGATGCAGAAAGAGCAAAAATAAGTTTTGTCCATGTAGAATGTTTATCAAAAATATTTTTTTTTCCTCTAACTTCATATGAGTGGCCTGAATTGAAACGATTGAGTTCTCTGCCAGCAAGCCTTAAGAGTTTGTGCTTGGGAAGGAAGCTTCATTATCTTCTGCCACATTGCACATACTTGCTTAGCTCATTCACAGTGCAAGGAAAATTCCTTACCAGAGTTTCTCAATTTGTACTCTGACGCTTTTGAAGTGATTGCAAAATAGATATTTAGAACACACGTACTTTTTCATGCATGCTGATGTGCAAGCAAGCAACAAGAAAGAAAATTCAGTAAGAAGTGAATATCTGGAATCTAGCTATTATTATAGAACTGTCTAAAATATATTATTTTAATTTTTAAATGCCGCATATTCTTAAATATTTATCAAAACACCTTGAGAAATACTTTCATGGCCAATTATGACACTATGCTGATATGAAATGTTGTGCACACAGATAGACATATTTATTGTGAATTTTGTTAGTGTTATTTCAAAAACTCGTAGAGATCAGAATTTCGTACTCTGATAAATTGCATGGAGAGACATTGTTTATGCTATTTGAGGAGATGACTTGCTACATTTAATTATACGAAGTAGTCCCTCTGGAGATATAAAGTAAAAGGAGAAAGCATTTCAGTTCTATACTCACTAGTTCATAACGCAGCTGAAGGTAGTGTTGAAGGTAGTAGACCACACTTAACAAAAATACAGATACTTTGAAAACAAAAAAAAAAAGCTTTAATTTCTGGAATTTGTAATAATAGTACTTAAGTACAGAAATTGAAGTTACTAATCTGAGTAGGATAGTAGGATTCCAGGCAGGAATTAGGTGATGATCTCTAACAGGCTTTTTTTTTTTTTCCCAAAAAACTGTAATTATTTTTAAAAGAACACAAAAATCTAGGTGTTTGTTTGTTTATTTTTGATTTACAGCAAAGTGCATTGACTGAAATGTTCTAGCAGCACAATTGTATAGCATTGCATAGTATGATACTATTGTGCTGAATAAACAATAAAAAGTTGCAGTGTTTTTATTCCAAATAGAGAAATCTCCTGGCCTTGTTTTAAAGACATTCAGAAGTAACAATAACATTCTGATTGGTACATTTCATTTTACACTGGTTTTCACATAGACATTCTAGTTTTAAAAATCAAAAAGGAGCTTACTCAAAACAGCTTGAAAACACAGTTTGTGTGGGATCCATGGAGTCTGTGTACAAATAGAATGGATCTAGGTTTAAGCATAAAAAGCATGTCTTGCTCAACAGTTCTGAATGCTTGACTGGTCTTGGCTGAATATATGTCACAGAGTTTAGAGAAAAAAAATCCCCGATATGACACAAAAGTACAAAAACCTCTTGGCAATGCCTGTTGGGAGTATTGCTGTCCTAGCAGTGGAGATGTTACTGATAATTGCACTAAATATTTTCCTCTTTGAAAATTTGGAAACTATGCAAGAATGGAATTTGAGTTTTTTCTCTAGTGAGGAGGATTTCAGAAATATGGAAATTTTGGTAACATATAAACTAAAAGTCCTCTAATAGGATGCATTTTTTTCTGAATTACTCCTCTTGAGTTCTATAGTGCTGAGTTACAGTAAAAATACTTAATTATATTTTTGTATGATATATTTTTCAATATATATATACTTTTTCAATAGCTATGAATAAAGTCCATAGCAATTGGGATGTAAGTAACAGGCATTGATCTGTTCTGGTTTTGTTCTTAAATTGCTTTGCTGTGGCTATGGAAGGGGTTTTAGTCTGAAACACTAAAACATAAAGCAAACTGCTTGGTTAATCTTGTGACTACAGAAATCTGTTTACCTGTAAGCAGAGGGGGAAAAAAAAGTGCCTTTAAATAATTTTCAAAAGACCTGTGTAAACAGGTTATATAATATTTGTATAAATGAATATGCACACACACACTCTGGAATTTGAAAAGCTGCCTATCAGCCGCTACCGAAACAAGCAGAGCACCACACAGGCTGAAACATGGAATGCTTGGGAATATGACGTAGGTGAAAATTCTTGCGTGGTAATTATTAACATGTTTAACTAAATTAATGTATTATGAAAACTGACAATGGCACGTCACTTAGGACATTTTAATTTCAAAGCCTTGGCTGGGTCCTGCAGGTCAGCAGGCTGTCCGGGGGGGAGGTTTCAATATTAAAAAAAAAAAAAAAAAACCATACCTTATTTTTCCTTCTTTTCTCAAATTTGCTAAAAACCACAGAACCAACAAAATCTCAAATTACATATTCCAGTTGTTTTCAAATTGCAAGGCATTCCTCAGTGTTTTGGAGGATCATCCATTTGCATTATTTGCTGGCTTGCTCGCTCTCAGGCATGTTTTTGGGTGCTTTGTGACTGGGATTTTGAGGGCAATGGATCTTTTGCCCTGCATTCAGTAAACTTGTTGTGTTTCAGTCATTCCTCACCAAATCCCAGCAGCAAGGCTTTAATTTTGAGCTTGTTCTTGAAGCCACAGTCTCCCCTGCTAGACTAGTCATGATTCTGATATTTTAATTATGATATTTTTTGTATGTAAGTTATTCTTAGTTACTTTTTGATTGCAGGCAGCTGTTTGTACCGTGTTTGTGTGTCCTCTCCTTGGGCTCTGTCATTGCTTTTAATTTCAGGTATAATTTTCTAATCGATTTTATTGGAAGCTGTTTTGGAAAATAACTGTGCAAACATACTCCTCTAATCCATATTTGTATCCTTTAAAATCTCATACTATGTTATGTGTTCTTGATGCCCTCCCTGTCCATCTCTGCAGCCACTTCCAGTTCACAAAATCAGCTGAGGTTGATAAAACGAACAGATTCATGGGTTTTGATGCCAGAAGGGACCATTATGATAATGAAATCTGACTTCAGGCTTAATGGAGGCCTAACACTATTGCATCTTCAAAGAGCTGATGCTAAGAATAAATTTGACCTCAGAACACTTGGGCACTGGCCTTGCAGTCAGCACTGGGAAACTAATCCATAACTGTTCAGGAGATTGGGTACTCTGTACTATCCCTGTTCTCTAAATTATGGAATTTGCTTGAAGAAACCCATTTTGCAAGTCTGGGCCAGCCCTGCCTGAGCTTTGTGCTTGCATATCTCATCATTCTGACACGACAGTGAGCCAAAGGAGAAGGTGCAGAGAATTGCAAATGCAGGACTGGAGGGTGAGGCGAGGCTCGGGCTGCTGCGTAGCTGCAGGGATCGCATTCAGAGGGACTTGGGGATGCTCAGCGTCTCTGTAAACACAGGCCATTAGCTTCTGAGGACTTGTTCACATGGCACGGTAAAGTACAGTGAGGAGATTGACTAGAAGCAGGGCGTTTTCGCCTTCCCAGAGCATCATGTTAGCGTGACTAGACTGTTTCCAGTAACAAAACTAATTAGTCACAGGCTGACTCAGATGGCCCTGTGCAGGACAGCAGTGTGACACGCACACACACACACCCTGTTAATTTACAGTTTCCCAGATAAAAATAGATGTAATAATGTTATTCCCACATTTATGAAATGGTTTGTGCTTTACATATGAAAAGCTTTCAATAGGCACTTAAGTGTTATTGCAAGTAATTTAAGAGGAATTCAAAAAGCTGTTTGTTTTTCTGTTAAATTTGCTAAGTCTTTTATGGCAGAGAAGTAGCTGACTTCAATAAGTTTTAATTTTTATAGGTATGCCAGGGATGATTTAGAAGGCTATAAATAACATTAGTCTATTAAAAATATATTCCTATGCTAATATGCTCAAGAACTAGTTAAAATGCTAGAATGCCTTCTCTGTTCTATGCATTTTTATAGATTCAAAGATCTTTTAAATACTTTTATATATATATATATATATATATTATTCTTTGTATCCTTTGTATTGCTGAATATGAAAGTTTTAGGATTAAAAACATTGGTCTATGACTTATAAAACTTGCATACAGATTCCTCTTAGGACACAGACTTCCTATTTATCTTTCGGCAAATTGTTTAGACTTAGTTTTTCAGAAGACTTTTATGCTCTCTAATACCACAAAAATTAAAGATCTAGGTTCCCATCTATCAAAATGAATATTCACTCAGACTGGTTTGTGTTAACATACATGGTATAGGGCATTGTGTTCACTAAGAATAGTGAACACAGTATCAAGAGCTTAAGCTGTAATCTCAAGTTCTCAAGTTCTTCTAGTAGTTTAAAACTTCATAATTTGCATCAGCCATTCCAGTGTCTGTTCTTGTCCATGAGGTTGTTTGGTTGCTTGCTTTGGAGCATTCAAGCAGAAATATATCTGTTGTATCCAAATACAAGAGAGAACAGTTCAGTTCCCCATTTCCAGGCTGTGTTCTGCGGTTCCTTTTTTTGTCATAGTATTCCTTCTGTGCAGCTGCAAGACACAGGAAAATAATTTTGTTGTTCACTTGAAGTACTGTTTCTGATTTAGGCTGCATTTCAGGGAATGCTCAGTCATCCATGTAAATGTTGTGTCTTACCCGCTGCATAGCTGAAGCTTGCTTCACTGCAAAAAAAAATGTTTCTCCCTCAATTATGATGATATAGATTATATTTTTTATCGTGGATAAGAGACTGGAACATCTTCCAGTTACCAACTACTAGTCACCGTTGACCAAAAATAATAAATTCCCTGAAAAATTCCTGCCTGACAGCTGTGTCTCAGATGTCTAGTGAACACGGGTGTTCAGCACCTGACAGCAGATTCAGAACAAAGACTCTGAGGGACAGCAAAACCTGTATGCATTTTTAAGGCAGTAATAAAAAAGGAGAAAAGCAGCCTATTGTTATATCAGAAATGAGTGCCGTTTTTTCTACACTTCCATATAATGCTGGTTTTATTTTTTATGTAAAGGAAATAGGCAAATATTAGAATATTTCTTTCTCTCTGTGTGTGTATGCACGTGCATTCCTCTACATGCACACATAAAGGCTGTGTTACAGAAAACATGTTTTTTAGCAGTGCACACAAACACAGAAGGCCTAGCAGTCGGGTACAGAGCCTTATTGGCATGAAATCTGTAGGTTACTCAAGGGAAACTCTCTTTTGAGATCAGAGAGGTTCTTCATAAGAACAAATGTTTATTTGAAAGGTACTATTTTGCATCAAAAAGCAGTTATTTGCCAAAGTGTTCTTGGAATAAATTTTTCACCTCTCCTCCACAGAGGTTCTCATCTTCATACTTATTTCAAGCCACACAAGTCAAGTATTATATTATGTTATTACCATGCTTGGCTCATTTTTCAAGAGCAAATTTTCCATTGGAATGTGGCTTAATTGGAGTCCACAAGTGGCTTGCTCAGTGGTGTTTCTTCCTTTGTTCCTTACGGTTAGGCAGAAAATATTGTTTCTGGTAGCATAACAAGTGAATTGATATGGAAGGCTCTCTATCCCCCATGTTAGCCTGTATATTCCATAAATACCCCTGAGGTGTACCCCTATTCAACACAGGAACATTTGGTGGCTGCAGGTGCATCAAATATGCAGCCAATCTCAAACAAAGCTACTGTAGAAAATTCCTGCCACAGAGACTGTTTTTCTTCCTCCTTCACTCTTAAATCCTTCTGTGTTTTGGAAGAGACTCCCTTGCCCTAGCACGAGCTTTGTGTTTCTCGCAGGTGTTCAGCAGCTTCAGGATGAGATCTGTGATTATCATTACCCAAATGTTTGGGGGTTTGTGGGTATAATTGGCATACCGTGCACATCACAAGGAATATTTTGTAGAAAGGAGAATGATCTCATGGACATGAAGCTGTATAGTAGACGACGTGATAACCTTTTTCTTTGCTACCCATTAATAGTATCTCATCAATTTAGGATGTTGGTTGCTAACTCAATTGTGTATAAAGGGTTCAGCTCGCTGACAATTCATTTATTTTAATAACTGTTTGTTTGTTTTATTCATTCACAAGGTAGTGCTTTGCATTATTCTTGTGAGGATGAGAAAAATGAGAGGAGTAGACTAGGAAAAAAAGGTTCTCATTACCTGTCCATGGCTGAAGCGATGGCCTTCAGATCACAGAACTCTGTCCTGGAGTCCAGCTGGGTCTTCTCTTCCCTAGGTGCAGCCTGGACTACTGATTTAAGCAACTACGGTAAATACACTGAATAAAACTTCTAAACATTAAACATAAACTTTTACATTGAAATGAAAAGACTAGTAGATAGTAACGATGGAGCATTATGGTTATCTGATCTGACTGTGTCACAAAGACCAGAGATTTTTGCATAATTACAGTATCAAATTGCAAATGATGAATTAATACTTTTCCCATGGCCTTGCTGAAGACCTGTATGCCGAACATCGAGAGCTGATGCTAATTGCATGTGCACACAGTGTCACCAAGATCATTCTTAAGCTGTATGGCTTTTCTGACAAAGACGGTTACTCAAAAATTGAGCTCAAATTGAGACCACAAGATCAGTTTAGCAAATACCTTGCAGAAATAAATAAGAAAGAACCATTTCTTTCTATTTTTTTTTTCTTAAACTCGTTTCCTTTCTTATCTATTGACTGGCTACTCCCTCAGATTACACAGCCTCCTTGGAAGATTCACCTTTGGACAAGAATAATAAGGTTTATCATAAATGTTTTCAGAGGGTTTTAAAATCAAAATAATTTTTATAAATACAGTATTTTAAAGAATAATATTACTATTAAATTATAATTTTTTAAACTAATAGTAATTTTAATTGTAATTAATCTTTTTTTTTTAATTTATTTTTTTTTAATTGCTATACTTGATTCAGAAATTTGCTACATTATTCCATTCTTATTTGCTATCCTCTCCCCTGGGGTATGCAATGATTCTAGAGCTGCTTATCCACTTCATTTCAGTTTGCTCCACTGGAGGTTTGAGCTCTTTTTTTTTTTTTTTTTTTTTAATTGTTTCCCTGCTATTTCAGGCATCTTGCTTCATTTGGTAATGTGCATAATTATTTTTTCCCTGAAAAGCTACACATAATTACTTTTGAACTAGCTTAATCTTTTCTTATCTTTAGGACATTCTGCTGATGCTTTCAGAATACTCTGCAATTATTTTTCCTTTTTCATCTGATCTGTAATAAATAGTCCGGCATGCCAGGGTAATGGATTTCACTTGAGGATCTCAAGATGATTTGCAGACAATAATTAATTAATTAGTTTCACAACCTGTCTTTAAAACAGGTGAAATTGAAATGCGGGCCGGCAGCATGCGGTCATTAACCACGTGTTGCACCACTAACAGTAGCTGCTCCACAAGCGGGTGACATCACCCGTTCCTCCCTAATATCAGCAAAGGTTCCTGAAGCAAAACAAAGGAGAGCTGAACTCTGCTCAGTGACACCCTGTTAAAAAAATAAATAGTTAAAATCATCTGGTTCAATCATCCCACTGGTTGTTTACCCAGTGTCCTGATGGAAGGGTGTGCTGCTATATGGCCGTACACAGACTTAAATTAGTTTGTAATATGTGTTGCAAAATGCTGATCGGACCAACCATTGCTGTTGGTTTTGTCGGCAACACAGAAGTCACTGCAGGTATTCGTCCAGGCACAGTAGTTGTACTTAAAAATGCATTTTACTATGTCACGTAGCTGAACTAGAAAAATATTAAAGATGACCCTGCGGGATATATGTATAAGATGAATTGAGAATTTGTCAGAGTTAAGCCCTGAGGAAACTTCTCATTATTCATCCTCTTGTTTGTTCAGGAGGATCATTGGCTTGCCTTCTTACTAACCCATAACTGACTGTCACCAGTAATTTTAAATGGCCTCAATTCTCTACGTTGCTGGTTTTCACTACTGCATTATTTCTTGAATTGAGCTCCTTAAATAGAATTTGGTCCATCTATGGGGCTTGAAAGTAGTGGCAGTGAAGTTCATAGCAGGAAGCAGTAGTTCTGTTGTGAATATCATAAAGATACGTTATATATGGTCATAAAAGTTGCAATAAAACATATTATAGAGTTTGTGTAAGATGTGTAGGAACCCGTTTTAAGCCCACATTCAGTATTCAAAATATATATTTTTTCCCCAATCCTAGATTTAACTGAATTTGACATTCTTCATGAGAGAGGGAGAAAGAAAGGAAGGGAACAAAGGCAAAGGGAAGAATGGGAAAAAAAGAATGGGAAAGAGAGAGGGAAGGAAGAACAAACGAGATAGAAAAAAGGGGAGGGAGGGTAACAAAAAGATAATAATCTGTAAATCATAGTTATCTTGCTTGCAGCTTTGTGGCATTAGTGTGAAAATCTTCGAAATCATTAAGTCCTACAAACTAATGGAAATACTCCCACCCTGTCATAATATTCTCAGAGGACAATTGCCTCAAATATCTGTCCGTTAACCGGTTGGCCCTCAAATGTGTACACCTCAGGTGTCTTACTTATTTTTTAATCAAATATATAGAGCTAAATGCAAAAGGTGTAATCTTGAAAAAAGATTAAGTGATATTTGAAATAATGTTTTTCCCACTTACCCTTCCCTAAACACAAGATTAGCCTTTATTTCTGTGTTCATTGAATCTTGTGTTGGTTTTCCCTTCAGAAGTCAGACCTAGTTGCTCATCAAGCTGTTTTATGAACACTGAGCATGAGCACTGTGTCAGTTTTCTGGGATTTCCCTGATACTCAGTTTTATTAAAAATGACCAGCAACAGACCAGGGAATTCCCTCACTGAAGTGTGAACTATCCAGGTCTGCTAATTGCAGTTGTTCTCAAAATATTACTCTATTGCTAATGGATTGTAATATTCCTTATTAACCATATGAGAAAAGAACATCATCCCCTTTCTTTCCAAATACTGACAGGAGCCTCTGTTGAGGACTACTTTTTCCACTTTGGCAATTACCTTCACTATGCAGTGAAGTAAGGGAGGTTTTTAACCAGAATTGGTTCTCATCTCAGTTGTGGTTTCTGTGGACATCTAAAAAGGTCTTGTGAAAGGACATCCAATTTTTTATTCCACTTTTTTTTCCTCATTTATCTCCAAGACAGTTTCACCAGCAGTGTTCTGTAGGATTATGAAATATACCTTTTGGAAGAAGAGGCTTTGGGTGTCTATAGATGACTAACTACCAACTACTAATTATATAATTAGGAATTGCTTCTCAGTATTGAGTATAATCAGGTCATGCTCATTGGTCTGTAGGCTTCCACTAATTTGAAATCCAGCAATTATTTTTTTTTTTTCCACTAGGCACTGAAATCCAAAATAGTTTTGTTTTCCTTTTATGTTAAAAAAAAAAATCATCTTATTTTTTTATATTTCTAATGAAATTCTGTTATTTTCTGCAACCTGATCTAGTGGGTGGCATCACTGCCTATGGCATGGGGTTGGAACTAGGTGATCTTTAAGGTCCCTTCCAACCTGAGCTGTTCTATAATTCTATGGCCATCACCAGGACTGCATACATGCATTCAAAAGTCTATCTTCCTGATCTATAAGCAAGTCTGAATCATGTCAGCTTTATGTGCTGACTTGGATCCACCAAAATCTCTCTGCTTTTAGAAGCATTTGACAAAGGTATTGTTTTTTAAACACTTCATCTACCTCTGTTATTTTCCAGGGTCTACTACAGAAGTGCTGTTTCCACCTCTGCCTTAAGCCCTTGCCTGTCTTTGATTCTTTTCTTATGTGCTGAATGTATCTGTAGTACATATTCGTTCTTTTAAGTAGCAAGGGATTGCAGGCAGTATTATACTGCTGAACAATACACTTATAGTTTATTGGAATTTTTAAATGTAAATAATATATATAGTAGCAGGAGCACATAAGATATATTAAATATGCTGCTTATGTATAAAATATGAATATTAGATATTAAACTCTTCCTATTTCATTTCAGAAACATATGTTTACTGTTAAGGTCTTGAAGATGACAAACACTGCACAGCACTTGCATAAGCAAACTTAAAAGCAAAGTTATTCTTCCCGGTCTAGAAAAGTTGGTCTGAATCACCTCTTTTTCCTATAAATCTGCCTTTAACTAAAGAGGATCTTTCTTTGTTTCCAAGGGGCTAATTAACAACTGCCAGCAAAGTTGTCTACTTTAAAGAAATATTGCTTGTTTTTATAGGTTAGTGTCTACAGCCTGTAAGTGTTTATTAATATTGTGGTTTTCTATACATTGTCAAATTTTATAAATATGTAAACTCTAGGGAAGTGGGGTTCAATGTTGGCAGTTTGTTTACTTGGGATTGCTGAGGCCTCTGAAAGGAGCAGTAGGACGGCATACTGACCCAGAACTTCATTCCATTTCCCCTCTGAGAAACTCCACCAAAACATTTTTTTATATGTAGATTAAAAAAAAAAAATCTTAAAGAATTGTCATCCAGTTCAAATCTCAGGCAATTACTTTGATTACTTGATGAGCAACAAAGACTTGATGAGCAAAAAAAGACATCCAGTCTGGTTTTCTTTGACATAAAAAATATTTGTAAGCAGGAGCAATTTGAATGGTCAATTTTAGTACAGTTTTTCAAGCACTTTTGCCACTTTGCATTTTTTTTTTCCCCAGAGTTTGAGGAGGCTTTTCCCCATATATGTAGCTGTGCATGACAAAGCATGGCAGCCATTCATAGTTTCAGGTATATGGTAGTATCAGGTATATGGTAGACTCATACTTCCCTGGATGATGTACAAGCTTGCCCAGAACATCTGCTGCTCTTACTCTGATTATTCAGTGGAAATCTCAAAATTGAGACTAATCGCCAAGGCATGAGGTTTTCAATCCTGCACAGCACATCAAAAAGTACAATTTATTAAGAGTTTAGCAGAAAGCATGTTCTAATTACTGTTGGCACTTTCAAAAAAATAATTAAGGCTCACTTATCACATGGTCACGCATTGTTTGTTTTTCGGCAGTCACTAACTAATGCACACATGTATGAGTACTTCTACTTACAAGCAAATTTAAAATAAAAAGTATAATATTATAATATTTAAGCATACTGAACATTCTCTAAATATTAAGGGATCTGGTGAGAACCCACATATTAAAGCTGCTAATATTCTTTTAAATAATAAATTATTTCTAAAGCAGCAAGTCTTTGAAATTCATCGTAGAGAAAGCCAGAGGCTAGAGAAGTACCTTTTATTTTTTGTCATGAATTTCCATTCTGGTCTAGCTGGGTCACAGGCTGTCAGAAAATCCTGGCATTTCCTTTCTGTTTGCTTTCCTCAGGAAAAGCTTGGCAGCCTCCCAAAACAACAACTGAATAAGAACATTCTGAACAGCTCAATACAATTATTAAAATCCTGCTACCCAACCAGCTGCAGCACACATGGCACTGAGAATGGGATCTGATACAGCAAGGACATCAATGGCAAGAGAAGAAAGGGCAGAGCAAGCTCCCAGACACATTCCCTCCATAATGCCAAGGATTTTCTGCTCTGCGTTATCTGCCTCTCTGTAGGACCTCTGCCCACTGCTGTTACACAGTGACAGAAAACAGCTTGCTCGTTAAATACCAGAAGTGGTTTACTTATTTATGGGAGCACTGCAAGAAGGAAGGAAAGTGTTAAAACTGAGCACTGTGAGTGCTTGTTGCTTCAACCAGGCTTGGCAGTTCTCTTTGCAGATTTAAGTCATATTTTTTAATTTTTATTTTTTAATTTTGGTAAATCTTTTCCTGTCTGTGCTGTGCCAGTCACTGGGCAGCTGCTGTTGCTCTGCAGTGTGTTCTAGCTCTTTCCTTTCTTCCAAGGGTTAGGCTTATAAATGCTTCTTGGAAAGCCCCCAGGAAGAATCCGCAAGCTATCCCCTTCCTCTCCCTGACTTGCAGAAACTCGAGACTGCCTGCACAGAAGTCAGCTTCAGAGAAATCATCACCTCTGCTGCTGGCCGCAGTGAGGGAGCACCTCCTTATTTCGGTCAGATCAAACTGTCTTCTTACTAATCCGTCAGCCAGAATAACAACTACCAAACCCATAGATACAGATCACATTTATAGAATTGATGCAGCTCACTCCCATACGTTTTGCAAGATACCTATAAATTTACTCGTGCATGAATTCAAAGTGACAGCACTGGAGGTGTCATTTTAAGACACTACATGGTATGTGACAAGCTAGCTCAGCCTGTGATAGCTTTCTGAAAGGTGGTGCAGAAGGCTATTATACATTTACTTTTCAGAGAAAACAGTATTATCTTCACTTCAGAGAACTTTTCTTCTCTGTTATTTTTATTTTCTTTTGTAGAAGAGCTAATCCTGACCTCATCCTCTCCTAGAGACTTGCTAAGCAGCACAGAAGTTGCCAAACTGAGCGAAAGGTATAACAGTCAGGTGGTTATAAGATGGCACATGGTGAAGATTGGATCTTCCCAGTGTATTTCAAAGTTAAATCATGTCATTTTTCAGAGCTGCTGTTAGCATTTCCATGTCATTCGTTGCTGCCAGAATCAAAGCATATTTTTCCCCATTACTGATTGCTAGAAAGTTCCCCACCACACAGCATTCTGACATGTTTCTTGGGCAGAACAGATTAGGCTTTGCCGTGAGGGCCAGTCAGTTAAGCACAATTAAACTATTATACACTGCTTTATTTCACTGTTTATAATTTTGGGAGAATAATTTCCATTGGTTTCCCATGTTATATTGCAGGAGATTTGTAGACTTTTTGGTTTTCCATCCTGCACAGTGTCTCTTTTCCTGCTGTTTTTATTCATACAAGTTTTCAGTCATGTTGAGCACACCCTTTTACAGATAGAGGTTGTGGTTGTTGAAGACTGCTGACATGCATGTTGAAGTTAATTTTTATTCCATTTAAACTTAGTTTTCACTTTAAAATACTTTTGCTGTGTAGGCAGCACATGACACAATAAGCTGTGGCTGGGTGATCAGAACAGAAGATGCATTAAGTTCTGAGCTGTGTACTTTGCGTGTCTTCAGAACTGATGGCACAAATGTGATTTTGGAGTAGCCGGAGGAAAAGAGGATAGTGAGGGCTGTGAGGGCTTGCTCTGAGGTTTGTGTAGCTGCATGTTGGAGTGAAGTGCCAGACTTCAGCCTACAGTTCATTAAATTGCATTTAAAGAAGGTAATAATGGAAGTACATTTCGCAGGTACGCTGTACGGTTATGGTCTATTGCTCCCTGAATGCAGAGCCAAATTAAATAAATCAAATATGGTCTCAAGCAGCCAATTTTCATGATAAGCCACTACAAGTAGTGACATTAATTTCATGGAAGTTGCGTAAGTGTAAATCACCTATTTGTTCCATTATATTGCCGCCGTAATTGTAGCAGTGTGGGTCATACTCAGATGTTTGATTATTAGTTGTGTGCACGCTCCTGTTTACAGAGGAGGGCTTCCCACATTATACTCTGCTTCAACACTTAATCTCTAGACTTCCGATCTACTACATTTGGTATGTGAGATCTCAGCAGTTTCGCAGCCCAAAGGTGACCTGGGATATTCAGGTGCAAGTCACAACGGCTTGGAAGTACACTTTGCAGTGGAAGAATGTGTTGTGCAAACCATTTCAGAGCTGTGTTAAATTTTGAAAATTAATATGAAATTATTGTCTTAGGAGCACTCTGGTTTGAACAATAGTGACAGAAAGTGCGCACAACAGATCGACTGCATACTGCTAACAAGAATTGCAGCAAGCATAAACTGGACCTGTCTTATGGACTCCCAACAAAACATGACAATTTGTAACAGACATATTTTACAGCTTTTTACTAGGAAGACTGTCTGCAGTGGTCATGAGATTTGTCTCTTTTTCTTTTATGGCACCCGAAACCCATGCAATCAATTTGCATGCTGTCTCATGTTCCTAGCAGCAAGATATATATACTATTTCCTTCTGCACTCTGTTGCAAGGACTTGACTGTTCCCTGCCTTGACTGTTCCCTGAGAAAGGAGAGATTCAGGCAGCACCACGCCTGTGCCACAACGAGATTCTCCCTAACACAGAGAAATGTAAAAAGAAATTTGAAATAGGGTTAACATTTCTGGCTGAAACAGTAGCTTTTTGGTCCTGGGGTGAGGAAGGGCAGTGGTGTTCAAAAGCACTGTACAGATTTTTGTCGCAAGATGTAAACCCAAAGTAAGCCTCCTGAAAGTTACAAGAAATCAATATTCTTGCAGTGCAGGTAGACCCTTAGCATTATTTCCTAATAGGTTATTGATATCATGGTAGATGTGTCCAGTGAAGCCTGACCTAAGGAAGCAGCTGCATTAGAGGATTCCTCTTTTTTACTGTTTATAAGAAAGAAGGTGTTAAATGACACACTCTGCAAGATACTCAGCAAAGAATGGTAATTAGTGCTTCTAAAAGGAGTAAAGATACTGGGATAATGGAACTGTCAGTAGCATAGACCTAAAGATCACTAGCAGTAAAAGGCCTTTAATTACATCCATGCCCTAATGTCAATACACACGCACTAAAAGGGTTGATTTTGATGTCCTAAAATCCAACTGCAAAGGTTTTTCTTACCAAATATCTCATCAAAAATGGGAGAAAAACTTATCATTTTTCTTTATTCATAGTCTCTGTTTTGTTTCTTTAAGCCTTATAATAGAGTTTATTATCAAATATGGCAAGATGTGCTTGCATTTTGACAAGGATGGAAGTGGAGATCTTAGTCATTGAGCTGCTGACTTGGTAATTTGGGAGGGACCTCAGGAGGTCTCCGGTCCAACCTCCTGCTTCAAGCAGGGCCAGTGATAGGACCTGACCAGGTCGCTCTGGGCTTTATCCCGGTAGGTCTTGAAAACCTCCAAGGACAGAGACTACACAAGCACTGTGGGCAACCTGCTCTGATGCTGGACTTTCTGCATGGAGATAAGGATTTTTCCCTGTATCCAGTCAGAACTGCTCTTGTTTCATTTTGTCCATTGTCTCTTGTCTTGCTACAACTGGCTGCATCTTCTTGATGAACCTAGCTGCATCTACTCAAGACACCCCTTGTAGGTGCTGAGGACTGTTGTAAGGTGACCTGAAGCCACCTTTGCTCCAGAATGGACAAGCCCAGATCCTTCAGGCACTCTTCACAGGGCAAGTCCTCCAGCCCTGATCATGTTGGTGGTCTTCCTCTGGCCATTTTTCTGCCTATAATTAAATGTTTCTAAAATGTTAATGTGTGAAGCGCTGCTTTTCTACTGCAAGACATATTCTTGGTTTCAAGACAGTACTGAGGAAGATATAATATGGCATTGCTGGTGCCTCTATTTAAGTTGATAAAACTATCAGCTTTATTAGAAGTAATTTTGTGTTTATTGATTTCACCAGATTTTCTTCATCTGTAAGGATGCCACAAAATATAACCTTAAAAAACATTCACCACTTTGAAAAAGAGTTGGAAGATAATAAGAAGAGATCAGTAGTAACAACCTAAGATGATTTAAATTTAATTGGGGGGGTAGAAAAGTAGTATTAAAATTGTTTTCTGCACTGGCTTCACCTTTAATTGGTCATTGAAATGTGTTTTTTTGTGTGTGTTTTTTTTTTTTTTGTGTGTGTGTGTGTTTTTTTTTCCCTATCTAATTTCAAGTCAGGTGACAGTACTCCACTTTTGCTGTGCATAATATCAGCATGTCTGCTCTGCCAACTATTCTCTCATCCCTGAAAATATAAAATGCTTAATTAGTCCCAAGGGCCATTTTTGATCAGGGTGATAATCAGTTTCTTACATTTGGCAAGTTCTTCCAGAGATCTGACACTTTCAGCTAAAACTGCTGCACCTATCCAGTATCCCCTACATGGTTGGATGGCCTTTGCATGTCCTTATAAAAGCATTGGTGCTTGTTTTTGCAGAGAGCCCTGCCTTTTGGAAAACAAATATTTTTGGAAAGAAAATGGCATCTTATAAGGAAGCCTAAAATTTACTGTAAGACACTGAAGTGTTCTGCCTTGAGGGATTTTCTTGACACAGAAGATTGCTCTTATGCCCAAAAGAAACAGAATTTGTGGCATAGCCAATTTTCTGAGCTGTTTGCTGCTCTTTGAATTCTATCCCTTTTCCTTTTCCTTGCTGGATTTCATTGTTACCTGGCTTCCTCTTGTAAGTAGCAGTGTGAAAATTCATTCTGCAATTTCAGAAACAAATTTATAACACTGTAGTGACATCTTTTCTTCCAGCATTATGCAGCAAATAACTAATCCTGCAGCTGATATTAGAGCTTTAAGTAAAGGCATTTTCACATTACAGAATACCTATTTTGGGGGATCTGCCTAGTCTTGGTCTCCTTAATCAAAACCTGGGACTCTGAATTGGCTTTCTCTTTGTCCGAGCTCAGTACTCCCTTCTGCTTCAAAGTTGGCAAATGTACCTAAGGAATTAAAAATCAAGGGAAATTTAGTACACTTAAAAGCCAGAATATTCTGATATTTATGGGATCCACTATCTGCATCAAAATATATGGTTTATCACCAAATATCTAGTTTGACTTACAGAAAACTATATATAGAAATAACCTTATCTCTGTAAATTACTGCTTTTACCTATTGTGTATGTTGATACGTGACGCAAATTTGGCTCTCTTCTTCCTTCAGCAATTCAGCCTACTAAACATTAGTGTTGACAGGATTAATTGTGTTGCTAAAAGTGAATGGGCAGACTAACAAGGGTATACTTCACAAGTAACCTTTGATTTCCAGGGAATAGAAAAATAAATGTCCAGCTGATTGTCAAATCACAAATGTGGCTTTGCAAATGTCCTTAAATCTGTTGAGGATCTAGCACAAATTTCAGGTTTCAAAGTGTAATGCCTTTGCAAACTTTGAAAGCGAAACTTGCTTTTTCTCACAATAATAGTTTGGTACTTCATAGAATTAAGTCTAAAATTTTGAAATTAAAAGGTTTAAGATCAGATCTGCTAGTGAAGACAAAGAGGGGTGCCCTGTTCATTCCTAAGGTTTGGTGTATCTGCATATCATCAATAGCAGTGATTGTTTTCACTAGTAGTGCACAGCCAGCACTCTCATACCTGCTTGTTTTTTCAATTCATATCTCGCTTCCCCTCTTCCTAAGCCAAATGTGGCCATTCTAGTCAGCTTTGGTCTCAATTTGGATTACTTATTCTAGCTGTTGGTTTTTTTTGTTTGTTTATATGTTTTCTATATGCTTCCAGTATATTAGTCTTTGTAACCACAGATGCTGCAAATTAGCATCGTAGATATCTGCCATAGGAAAATGTTAGAAGGATTTTTGAAGTCTGTACTGTAGATTTTAAATATTTTATGTATTTATGTCAGTTTACTTACTCAGGATTTATCCCATAATTTAAAAACATTCTTTAATATAATGAGCACCTATTTCTAAAAGATTTCTAAAAGATTTCTAAAAGAAAATGAAAGGTTAAGAAGAAATTGAGGAGATCAGAGGGAGGGGGACACAGATAATGAAACAAACCTATTTGGGAGCAGACTTTCTTCTTTGATCATTTTTACCTGGCATACTTGATCTATATTGGCATACTTCTGTTGGGATGTAAGAGAAAGAAGACAGATGAGCAAATAGGGTTGCCACGTTCAGTTAACTTTGTGTATCTGAGTCAAGACCAAGCAGAAGTGATGAGTCAAAATAAACTTCTGTGGTTTTCATTCTTTCCTTTCAAATGTAGATGAAAAATAATTTGTACTGTTAAAAAACAGTTGTTTGTGTGTTGTTGGTTGTTTTTTTGTTTGGTTGGTTGTGTTGTGTTTTTTTTTTTTTTTAATTATTATTTTCCCCAAAAGTCAGTAAAAAAGTGAGGTAATACACAGGACATTTGAAAGAATTCAGTTATTTCATGCTATTCAGTTCCTTTCTGACTGGTGGATTAGTAAGGAGTCTTTTTACTGCCAGGTGACATGTTATTATAAGCCAACTCCTTTCATTTTTATTGCTTCAGGAGCTGTCTTTACCTTTCTTAATGACATTGTTATTTTATTTTTTATTCTTGGTCAGCTCCCGTTTGTATTTCTAGTGTTCTAAGTATATATTTGCCATAAGCGAGTCTTCTGGTTCTAAGCAAACACATTCAAAATGCAATTCAGATGACTGACTGGAGACATAGCATTTACCTCTGTGTGAGCAACATCCTTTACCAAATTTTGTGTGTAAGATAAATGTTTCAGTTCCAGAATAAGATGAGTGATTGTAACTTTACAATTATACCATTAATGTTCAAGTATGGAAAATTTAAGGATGAGTGAAACTGGTAAAGCAAGCTCACTATCAAGCCTACTCTTATACCTGTGATAGGCTTTATTTGATTTGAATTTGCACCTGAAAAGTTTCATTGGAACTTCTTGTGAAGACTCTAATGGGTAAGAATAGTATTTTTTAAAGTTCCACTGTTATTTCCACAGTTACATTCCCACTGTTATTTCCTCTATTTCAATATTACTTCATTCCAAATTATTAATGATAAGTAAATTGTGTATCATCTCCAAAATGCGATTAGCAGGACATTGCTTTTCCCAGTCAGAAATACCTGCATTATTCCCCAAGGTTGAAGGACAGCAATGGCTGGTGTTCAGCACTCTCTAATCTTCCTGAACCAACCTCTCACCAGCTGAAGAAGTTTCGTCCCAGTGAGTGTGATGAGTCAGTATGGATGCTGAAGTCTTCATCAACTCCAGCTGTTCAATGTCTGCTTATTGACTCCTTCAAACTTCTCAAACTATTAGTTTTAGGGAAAACTGTGAAGACGAAGAACTGCATTTAGACTAGGTTGAACAACCACCTTGTACAAAAATAGTGTTATCTTGATTTTCTGTTACTGCAGTCAGACTGCATAATAGAGTTGGCTCCATTTATTTTTTTTCACTGTATTAATATCACTTCCCATTTCCTTCTGTTCCACTGGCTTTCCTTTTCCCTATAACACCCATTCCTAAGCTCACACATAATACAACAATTTGCCAGAGTTTGTAGTTTGTGATGACTGTCGTATCAACAGTCACCTGTCCTCTCAAGAAGAAGATGCAGTGCTCTTGAGAAGCCTTCTGGGTTAAGTGGTACCCCATGGGAAATATCAGAACTTTCTGATGCATGAATAGCATTGGTGTGTTAGCTGCACAGTGCAAACTTCAGTGAAGAGTTTGAAATGTGTGTTTATACAACACAGTAATTTTTGTCTTTTATTTTTTTCAGGTCATTGCCATAGTTATGGATATGTTTACAGATGTCGATATTTTTAGAGAAATTGTAGAAGCATCTACAAGAGGGATTGCAGTGTATCTCCTGCTTGATGAGTCAAACTTCAGTCACTTTCTGAAAATGACAGAGAAACAAGGCTGTCAAGTTCAGAGGCTCAGGGTAAGACTTCTTCTTTCCTGTGCTTGAACATTCGCTTGTCATTCCTCTGCAAACCAAAGAAAAGACACTATTATTCAAAACCTCATTATCAAATACTGCTTTATCAAATTAACTATGAAGTATAATCTGGTAAACTCTCAGCAGAACCTTCTCTACAAATGTTATTCTCTTTAGAAAAGCTTTTATCTTTTTCGTGTGCCAAAACAAGAATGTTTGATAGAATTATGTATTTTTTCCATGTTATTTATAAAACCTTTTTCCATTATTATCTCCTTAGGCATAGTACAGCTTTGAAAAACTTTGCTTCCTTTTCCTTTATGTTAAATTAACCTGCAAATAAAATCATAAAGCTTATGCAAATTGTTTGGAATAATAAATGGTATACTTCATTTCATGATCTTTTTGTTAAATGTGATTACTATTAAAATGCATTAAAAGGACTAGGATTCTGTTTTAGTTTCTGTTTAGAAAGCACTTCTTATTTTGTCTGTCTACAGCACACAGTATGAGTAGGCTTACTTTTATACATTACATATGTAATTTGCCCTATAAGAAAGATAATTAAGAGAGGACTGATGTTTACATTTTTCACCCAATGTCCTGCACCACCCTACTATATTAGGGAACAGAATGCTAACCATATGCTGCACTGACCTGACATAAATGCTTCATAAATACTTCTAGGTTTACTGTCATTGTAGATATCTTTGCAAATGTTCCAAGCACAGTACCAGAGTTTCTCTGCAAAGCCTTAAACTCTTCTGTGGCTGAACTTCCATATAGCTCCATTTGCAGTTCCTTGTTTCTTAACTAGTAGTGCCATGTTTACTCCTGGCAAAAATATCTCAGAAGCTCTTCTTACAAGCATGCATTTTAAGAACCCAGTCTGAAATACAGATGGAGGTAGAGTGTTTTTGTGAGTATAAAGAAGGCTTTTTTCTTAAAGTTTTGGAACAAACCTGTATTTTATACCAAGTTTTGCTCTGGAGTGTTGACTTAGGCCCTTGAAAGTATTACCAAACCACTTCCCATATTTATTTCTGATGTGGGGGATTTGAGCATGTGGGATTGCCCTCTGGTGGCCTAATACACAAAGCTATGGGAATTTTTGAAAAGAAAATGCCACAAATATTGTGGGTCTGTAGACCCTGGTAGTAATTGCCCTCATGAAGTCAGTATTTGGCAGTACACTGGAACTTCAGACAGCATTGTCTCCCAATAACTTGGGTTAACTTTGCCATAAATGCTGATAAAAACAGAGTACATTCCTTTTTAATGGCATGAGTTTTATCCTGCCAATGTAAAAGAAATTAGGAATATTTTTTTCAAGCTCTATCTTGAAAAATGTGGTAATATGCATTTTCAAACTGATTCCGTGCAATATGTATCTATAGCTATTTCTAACTTTTGGGAGTGATTTGGAGGTTTTCATTTTACTGTTGTTTTATAGACCTACAGGCATTTACACTGTGGTTGAAAGAACTCAAGTACATACATTACAGTGGATTTGGTATGGATTTGGTATGGGTTGGAGAGTTTCAGATTTGGCCTTTTTTGTGACCTTATTCTTTATGTGTTTCTGTTCTGTATCAATGGGAGAAACATTTTTACACTGAAAGGTTTGCTTGGAATGCTTCAAGGTTTATCAGAAAATGAAAAATGTATGCCAAAGATCTAAACAGTAATCCTGTTGTGTACTGGGTTTCCAGTTCAGCTTGTGGTAAAGCTCTTCAGGCTCCTCATCCAGGTGCTACTCCCAGTGACTGTTGCTCTAAGAATAAAAGCTTCCTGCTCCCACGGTAATTATCCTGTGTCTTTCTTCAGGATGAAGGGAAGTCACTGGTGACTGTGAAAGAGCAGTCAATACTTTGGCAAGGTTTCTGTCTTTTTTTTCATTGCCTTGGTGCTTCATTGCCTTTTTGTGCTTTTGGCCCTCCTCTCCTCTTCAGTGAAAGCAAGAAGAGGACAGATGTAAGGATATATTTCTTCTTCCTCAAGATGTAGCAACAGCAGCACTGGCCTTGTTATTCTCTGGCATGATTTGGTTCAGTCTTGAGTATGGCAGACATTTCTTCATCCTGTGCACTCATGAGGAGGAGTTACTCTCAAGCTTTTATGACTTAGTCAATATACTCACTGGCTCTTTATCTCTTCCTTTGAATCAGTAAAAAATGAAATGTTGTAATGAGAGAGACTGTATTTTCGAATTCAGATTTACAATTCACTGGTCTTCTATATGGAAAAAAGAGGATTTATTTGTAAATAAATCTACATTAAATGTCTCATATGTAGTGCAAATCCATACCACGGCATGTTTCCATCTTTTTTTGAAAGAGTATATACTGAAGGTATTGATAGACTATGTATTATGTGACTATGATGTGAATTCTATACGGAAGAATATGACAACTTGAATTTACTAGGAGCTTTTCCAGTCTCTTGTACAACATTTCTTCTCATGGGTTGGTTTTTACTTAAAGTTCACTTTAACATCATCAGTGGAACTCAACTCAAATACGTAATTCCTTTCCTGTACTCTTCCATTTCTCCTTCCCCATTTTCAATTTAATTTATCTGTTTACTGACTGTCCTACATTTCCCTATTAGCTAATGTATTTCTCTTTCTTTCTTTTCTCTATCTAAACTTCTTTTTATTAACTTTGTCACCAGTCAGACTTGCTGTTTGGTGAGTAACTCCTTTTCATTGAAAGATGAAGAGTCAGTACAGATTATGACTTTTTTTCAGGTACTGTATAAAAATTAATTGCTATTTTTTTTCTAGAGATTTTTTTTTCTGCTGCTGACAGGTGCTGCAGCAAACTGTGAGATAGATTTGCACTGCAAAACACAGCACTGAGACGGCAATCCCCAGTATCACCAGAATGCTTAAGCTGTAACTTCATTTTTGATTACAAATAGTGAACCAATGTAGAAAATGCTGTTCAATACCCAAGAAGAAAACCAAGTTCCCTGGCTGATAACACATCTTAGTGTTTTATTTGATATGAGTTGTGGCATGTGGTAGAGGCTCCATACTCTGCAGAAACTTATTTTTACTTCTCTGGAAATTATGAAGAGTCATCTTGCTACAGGATATATTGAAAGCAATTTGGCAGGAACTGTTTACCCGCTGATAGTCTTCTCAGTATTTATAGTTAATGGGAGAAATGAGAAAATAGTACCAGTAAAGAATTGGTTTTACTTTCCTTTTGTGAAGTCTACTCCCAAATACACATGCTTAAATGCACAGGAGGAACTGTTCATGAGAACTGATTGCATGCCATTCTATCTCTTGTATCTTTTACCAGTTTTATCAAAATCATTAAAAGTTTTCTAGTACTTCCAAGTCAAAGTCAAATTTGGTTATTAAATGGGTGTGCAAAGCTCAGTGTCATATCAGTGAGCAAATTTCTGTCCTTAGGGCCAGATTCCAGTAAAGTCATGGAGAATTTGACTTCAGTGGTCACTGAACCTGATTGGAAGTCATGACAGAACATAGCTGGAAAGCTACTTTGCATTTGCACAGAAACTACTATCTTGTAGTGAGAACAGAGGCCTAGGATAACAGATAATACTAGTAATAATGAACAATATGAGAAATGCGACTTATTTTTCTTTAAAGTTGCTAGGCTAAGTATTAGATGGACATTCATTCTCTTCTTTATGTACTTCTTGACAGCAAGTACGGGGTGAGTAACTGAATGCTGATAAAAACAGACTCTACAAATAAAAAGAGCTGCAATGAAATGTTTGAGACCAGTGTATTCACTGTTCTTATCTATCACATTAGAGTTTTTTTTACTGATGAAAATAAATGTTTAATGTTGAATTATACTTCAACATTTTAAATCGTGGTTATGTGGTTATCTCGGGGAAGATAGTCAGCTGCACAGTCACACATAAAAAGAGAAGTTAGAGCTTGTTTCCTGTTCATCGTTTAGCTGTCATTTAATCGGATAGCTATGATGGCCATCCTCAATCTGCAGCTCAGACATCCAGACAGTGGATGTTTAAACATCAGGAATGCAAACAGTCCCTGAGTTGTACAATCAGTTCTTGGAGGAGGGAGAAAATCCCATTTTTGGCTTCACAAACCTGCTAAAATATCAAGTCCTCAATTAAATTAGTCCCCCATATGTATTCACTAGCAGTCACTTTCAAAAACAGTTTACAGGACCAGACAGACTTTCCATTTGACTTGCTACAGTTGGTCTCACAAACTGTTGTGTGTCCTCTCAGGATAGCTTCCTCTCAAGGAATTCTTTCCTCTCAATTCCTTCTTAATGTGTGGATTTGTTTGTTCCAGCTGCCCAGCATTTTCTCTCAAGATTCATAAGTGAATTATTGCTTTATCCACTGTGATGCTGATTACTGATCACTTCTGTATTGATCAGTGACAGGTTTTTGTTAGTGCTGTTAGCATGGCAGTCCTGTAGCCTGAGGATACAACCAGGTAGGAAGGAGAAGTCCAGCATTTCATACAAAATGAAGCTTGTGATTATGTGTATAATAATCTTAAGTGGAACATATTGTTCTTTTATGTTCTCAAAAATAGTACGCATTTTGGGAGATTATTCAAAGGATGCATCCTTGGCAACTAATTAGAAGTTTTGAAGTAAGTGAAGAATGCCAGATGAGCTGTGGAGGAAGAGGAAGTGTTACATGAGAACAGTGAGCGTGATCTCTGGCACATGCCTTCATAATGCCATGTTCCCATCTTTAAGTGCATGACATACTGAGACGGGGAAAGATTTGGCAGGATTAAGGAAGCAGGACAGATATGCTGCAGGAGGAATAATACTGCAGAAGAGAAGGAAAACTGAAGATAACAGAGGAAACAGTAACTAAGATGTTTAAAAAAAACAGCAATTTAATGTGAATTGTAATTTTTTTGAGGGTTTAGAGCCTACTTGAAGTTATATTTTAACTTATGAGTACCTAAGGAAAAGTTTCTTTATACAGTACAGTAAATTGAAAACCGTTAGCTTTACTTGTGCCTACAGCATTCCAGACTCCTAAATGATATTCTGTCCAATACCTACCAGGTCTTATCTCAGTAAGATTTGATGGGTTCAGCTGGCATGTCATTAGGTCAACATTATCTGTTATAGTTATTTGAAAATGTATAAACTGAATCTCAAGTGACCATCAAATTATGACATAAATATATTATAATGTAAATATAAAGCAGACATACAAATGCAGTTAAATGATATAATTGATCTAAATACTTAATCATTGAAGTAAATGTAAAATTAATAAGTAATTCACAATTTTAATTTTTAGTAAATAAGGACTTACTATTGTGATAATCTTTAGAATAGGGCATTTTTTTTCTTTTTAAGTTATTTACTATTTACGCACTACTTAACTTACGAAAAAAACAAGCTTTTTATTTAACTACTTCTTTCTGTCAAAGTAACTGGTGGGGAAAGAATAGTTTTCTTCACTGGAATTGGCTTGTTCAAAGTTCAACAGTATTGGAAAAGCAGGAAAAATGAATTTGTTCTTTTAGATTCCAAGTTAAAAATCAAAGTAGTGAGAACCTGAAGGACTGTGGTGGTTTTACCCTGCTGGGCAGCTTAGCTCCAGCACAAGTGCTCTCTCACTTACCATCCTCAAAGGGAAAGGGGAAGAAAATACAATGGAAAGGGCTCAAGGGCTAAGATAAGGACAGGGAGATCACTCAACAATTATCGTCATGGGCAAAACAGACTCAGCATAATGAGGTTGATATAATTTATTACCTATCACTAAGAGACTAGAACATTGAGAAATAAAGGAAACTACAAACACCTCACTTCCCCCCTGACCTACCCTCTTCTACCTCCTCCCCCCAAGCACCACAGGGGAACAGGGCAATGGTGGCTGTGTTCTGTCCCTGACGCTTCATCTCTGCTGTTCCTTCATGGTCACTCTCTGCTCCTGCTACATATGCGGTCCCTCCCATGTGATGCCGTCCTTCCCAAACTGATGCTGCAGGGGCTGCCCACAGGCAGCAGCTCTTCAAGAACTGCTCCCACACCGCTCCATACCACGGGGTCCATCCCCCAGGAGCAAACTGCTCCAGCACGGGTCCCCCACATGTGGGTGGCAGCTCCCCCCAGGCCCCCTGCTCCTGTGTGGGCTCCTCTCCACAGGCTGCAGCTCTGGCCCGGGGCCTGCTCCTGCAGGGGCTCTCCATGGGCTGCAGCCTCCTCCAGGCCACATCCACCTGCTCAACCAGGGGCTCCTCCACTGGCTGCAGTGTGGAGATCTGCTCCATGTGGGACCCATGGGCTGCAGGGGGACAGCCTGCTCCACCAGGGGCCTCTCCACAGGCCACAGGGGAACTGCTGCTGTGTGCCTGGAGCACCTCCTGTCCTCCGGCTGCACTGACCTTGGTGTCTGCAGGGCTGCTTCTCACTCCGCAGTCTCTCAGTTGCTGTTGTGCAGCAGGTTTTTTGTTTGTTTGTTTGTTTTGTTTGTTTGTTTGTTTTTCCCTTTCTTAAATCTGCTCTCCCAGAGGCACAAGCAACTTTGGTTATTATCTTGGCTCTGGCCAGCAGCAGGTCCCTTTGGAGCCAGCTGAAACTGACCCTTATCTAACATGGGGCAGTTGCTGGACTCTTCTCACAGAGGCCACCCCTGCAGCTCCCTGCTACCAAAATCTTGCAACATTAACCCAATACATGGACACAATGCAAGACAGTGAAAGGTGATTGCAGTTAGAGATGCAGTTAAAGAGACAAAAAATTAGCCTCCAATGTAGTAATGCAGACTGGGTTGTTATTGTTACTGATTCTTTTTTTAACTGTTTCTGAAAATAATCTAGGTATTCATCTATATTTTCACTGAACCCAAGTACTTTTAAACTTTACAGGACTACTAGTTAACACCTATGTATTGAATCAACTTGATGCAGCAAATTAGGAGATAAACTTTATGTTTCTTGCACACTTTTAAGACATTTAGGTCACAATTTTTATTATTTTAAAATGCTGTCTCTGTACATTTTAACTAAGTTGTATTTTTTGTTCAAACAGCTTGAAAAAAATGCTATGTTAAAACTCATCTAACAAATTTAAAGAACTTGAACAGCTTGAGTTAAACTATACCTTGCCAACTCAGCAGTTCTTATGTGCAAGTTTTGCTTCTTTGAATTATTTGTCTTTAGATAAAAAATAAAATAAGCCACAAACAATAAAATATATAGGGTTTTAGAAAGGATGTGTTACTTAGAGATATTTATCATTTCATACGGATTTTGTCCTAATTTTTGGAATTTTCTGTTTGGAGAGAGTTCAGTGGACTGTAGTGGAGACTACAGTTATAAATCCTGCAATCTGAGTTTATGCTGTACAGTCTGATCCATTCTACTTCATAAACAGATCTAATCCATCTCCTGTACCTGGACTTTACAGAGCACACTTGCTGTGATTTTCAGCCTTTCCTCATAGCAGCAGAATTTGGGGCAGATATGAACCTTGGCAGTTAATGAATAGTCACAAGAAACAAGTTATTTCTGTATTCAGAAGTCATATTCCACTATTTCTGTATATATAGTTTAGGCAACAATCATATAGATTCTGTTTTCTTACCGCCAATGCTAAATTACACATTTCACTCCAACTGGAATACCTGTAAATTACCACAAATTAACATCACTAGAACACATATTTCAAGGCTAGAAACCACAGTAAATGTTGTGGTCATTCGCAGATGTATTCCAAGCTCTTTTTATAGTCTTGTGAAGCATTTTGTATCCAACAGTTACAGAAGGTAGATGGTGTAGGTTGGTTTGCATTGAACATAAATTTTCTTTTTGTTATAAATAAACACCTTTCTGTAACAATTTATGATGAATGCTATTATATTTCTTTCTGTACCTGTAGAAGAAATTTTTGAAATTTATTATTAGTACAGTACAAAAGGTTTGTTAACACTTCTTTTGAATTGTTCTTTTGCTAAGAGCTTAAAAAAAAACAAAGGACACTAAAGCAAAAAAAGATGACTGAAGTCATTCAGAACTGCATGTGCAGAAAAGATACTGGCTCAGCTGAGGCAACTTCATTAACAGTTTGGGAGAAAAACTGACCACATTTTGGGGTTCCATCATGGCAAATTTCCTCAGTAGAATTTACTGAGTTTGCATGAGTAAATCAGAAAGCTTATGGATAGAGTTTGGAATTCAAGCCTAACTGCTTTGTAGGGATTGTGCTAGCTATACATGCTGTGATAGCATCTCCAGATTTAGAAATGTAATTGATCCCATGCTGGAAAGCCAATTGAGAAATCTTCTTGGTGATGGAACTGCAAGGCATTCTGAGGCCAGGTGATATCTTTTGATAGACCATCTCAGAGTGAAATATCTATGTGTGTAGATACACTGCTCTTGTTCAATTAAAATAAGTGATACTGGTGCTTTAGATGTTATTTCTGACTTGTTGAGTTGCTCGGAAATCATATATAGTACATAAGATGCTAAAAAGATTTTTTTCACTACTAAATCTCTTTCTCTTGTCAAAGTCCTCTTGTGCCAGAGCCTCATTTCTGAGAGTGATGGCTATGGAAAAGGGGAAATTCATTTTTCCAAGGCCTAGGAAATTTCATCATTCTTGAAGACAAAGCAATAACTTGCCATATTGGGTCCCCAGGGGACAGGTTTGATTAGAATTTACTGTCCTGCAGAATTTACTGATATGCAATAATGTAACTCCTACTGTACCATTGACATTTAAAGCCCTGGCTGCTAAATGTAGAATATAGTGTACCAATTAAAGTATTTCAATTATCTTTTTCAGAACATGAGGGTGCGGACAGTAAAAGGACAAGATTACTATTCTAAAACAGGAGCAAAATTCCATGGAAAAATGGAACAAAAATTTCTTCTGGTTGACTGTAAGAAAGTCATATACGGTTCTTACAGGTAAGATCAGTCACTGAGTTGCCCATAGAAAACATGTGATCTCAGAATTTTGCCTGTTGCAAAATATATTTTTTCTATTTCTGAAAATTATTCCAGGAAACTCCATGGGCAAATTTGATTATATTTCCAGTAATCTATCAAGTTGTCACAGATACTTAATGATAGGTAACATAACATGTTGCCAAATTTTGAGGTCCCCTCGTAATTTTTCATAAATAAGAAATAAAGTATATAGCTTTTGATTTAGGCAAAGTTTTGGAGAAAAGAGAGAAAAATACCAATTTGTTCAATATAGAACTATTCTTGTTTAAAAGTAACTCCAAAAAAGGCTACCAAAGTATTTCATAAGCTCTCTTGGATGGTTTATCCTTGCAGCAATCTTTTAAAGCTAAAATTGTAGACCAGCTTTATAGCATTTCATACTATAGCATGGTCAAACTCAGAATTGTCAAAAATAGTCTATATTTGGTTAAGCTTTATTTTATTTTATTTTATTTTATTTTATTTTATTTTATTTTATTTTATTTTATTTTATTTTATTTTATTTTCCATTTTATTTCCAGTATATTTGCACAAAGCATAGGTCAGAAGAACTTGCATCTTTGCAGAGCTGGAAAAAAATATGTTAAAGCAGGGGCAGTTTTATCTCACACATTATTAAATATATGTGTTCTTTTCATGGTATGCTTCTCTCTTTTGGTCTCCTGAATTAATTTCTGCCAGCCTGATGCTTGGGTGCCAGATCCACAGCTGCTGATTATTGTAGATTTCAACTACTTTAAGCTTTTGAAAATCTGTCTCTTTATCTCCTCTGAGAATTGAGCAGCCCCAAATTCAGATTGATAGGTATAAATGGTAGTGAGGTAAGTGACAAGTTCATAAATGAGTCAGTGTAAGAGAGACCAGAGAGTCTGCCTGCTTTGACATCTACACACAGTGTTAGAGTCTGTGAGAATGTGATAGTTTTTCTCATTTCATTTTGAAAAATAACACTGCTTTAAGATCTAGCACAGGACCTGGAATCATGAACTTCTGTAGAAATTAAACTTGCTTTGAAAAAGAATCTAGTGATTTATAACAGCAAAGATGAGTTTTTTTGAATGCTTGGTCTCCGAACTCAATTTGAAGTTAATTATTTACAAATATTGCAAAATATCATGTCTTAATAAGAACTTCTGTGAAAAAGAAAGAAACAGAAAAAAAAATGTGTTATGTTTTGATTTAATTTCAGCACAGTATCATTTCCTAAAAAAAAAAAAAAAAACAAAAAAAAACAATTACAAGGAAATCAGCAAATTATTTATGTGACTACAACAAACCTTCATAACCTACAGAAGACAAATGCAAAGTTCAAGTTCATTGATTTCATTTCATTTTTTCACTTACTTTTCTTCACTTGAAATAAGGGTCATAGGACAGATTTTTTTTTTTTTGGTGTAATCTACAAATTACATGGTTTCAACACCATGATATCAGGATTTTTGAAACATCCTGACTGTACTTGTTAATGTATTTTATCTCATTTTGTAGCTATAAAGTAGTTATAGCTACTTATCTTTGAGCATGTGTTCAGCCTTTATAAGTATGGTAGAAAAGAGGAAAACTTCCTTTATCAGGATACAGTACACTGCAGTTAATAGAAAAATTAATATCCAAGCTGGTGTGCATGGTAGAAAATGTAAACTGTTTAACAGTTTTGAGGTGCATCTTTTTGAGAATGTGTTTAGATTAAAGTTTATTCATACCTGTGGAAACAGTTCTGTGTATTATTTCATACATACTTTTTTTCACAACTTAACCATGCATTGTCTCTGGTTTAGGAGTGGGTCTAGTTAATCCTGGCTTAGTCTTTGTAGAGGTAACTTTGCACCATTAGGTATTTGATGTTGTGCACTTGTGAATACCTTTTTCCAATATCCCCTGTTTATAAGAGCAATTAAGTAGTTATAGACACAGTCCTGCTCCCCCTGGAAGCACTGGAAGTCTGCCACTGAGTTCAAATTGTATTAGATTAGACCTTTCAAATCCAAATGACATGAATCATGCCATAATTTATTAATTAAGAAAGTATTTGTGCTAAATCCAAGTGTGTGTGAAAACTTCTTTTTTTTTTTTCTCCTATCAAGAAGGTCCAGTGAAATACATTAGTTCAAAAGAACTGTTTCTAATGGTCATTTGTTCTTCTTACAGCTTTATGTGGTCTTTTGAAAAAACCAACCTCAGTATGGTTCAAGTTATCACAGGACAGCTGGTTGAATCCTTTGATGAAGAATTCAGGACACTGTATGCTCGTTCTTCTGTTCCTAGTTCATTTGCCCCAGAATTAGTGCGGGTTAACAGTCGCAGGACACTCTGGGATAATGACACGTACCAACACTCAGTGTCTTCCTTAGCTTCAGTTTCTAGCCAAAGAAACCTTTTTGGTAGGCAAGACAAGCTTCACAATTTAGATCCTGTGTATTTGAAAACTCGAGGAAGATATGCAGTGAATGAAATAGATAAATTTGGATTGAGAAATCAAGCCTATAATAAGCAACCATTTCATCCAGGTTTTAATATGCAAAATCCAATCCAGCAGTATCAACCTAGTGAAAAAAATGAGCATTGGAAGAGGCATAGTTATGCTGGGGAGAAGCCAGAAAGGACACCTTACCTATTGCTCAACAGGGCTATTAATAGAGCCAATAATCCATTGAATACTTGGAAAATGCCATCTGATAGCCTTAGTATTGTGTCTTCGTTACGAGGAGGATATGCAAATAACTGCAATCCACCCCAACAAAGTTTCGCTGATCAGTTTTCACGACCAAAGGTAAATCTTGCAGAAAGAAATTCAATTGTGAGGAGGTCTTTTAATGGGACAGATCATCAAATCCGCCATCTACAGCAAAGGATGCCGACCCTAGAACACACAACGAAATCATTCCTACGTAACTGGCGAATTAAGTCATACTTAAATGACCAATCTGACTATCCAGTGGAGTCTAATGGGTCAGCCTTGGGTGACAGATATGATAGCTATGACACAGCTGAAAATATTAAAGCTCATGCCCTGTACTCTCATTCTCGCTTACGATCGTCATTGGTGTTTCAGCCAACTTTACCCGAACAGCAGGAGGTAAGCAGCTGTGCAAGTTCTTCAAATTCAACTATAATTGGGTCAGAGGGAAGTGCAACACCTAAAGGGACATCAAATCATGCACCAAGTGTGGAAAACGGAACAGACAATACTTTAGAAGAGCTTAGCACAAATGTCCAACTTAAATCAGAGGCACCAAAAAACCACAGAATTCATACTGCAGACAACAGAAAACCTATGGTAAATTCACATGCAGCAGGGGACCCACCTATCTACTTATACGCAACCCTCTGTGCCGACAAACATGCAGAAAATCTGAAGAACGTTCAAAATGAAAATATACTTAAAAGGAGAAGCTTTCCCATGTTTAATTCAAAGTCCATATTAGACCCTGGTGCAGACAAGCATGCATCCAGTTATGTTTACAGCACATTGAACAGGCATAGGCTTAAGCAGCCAGTTAGTCCAAAACTTCCAGAAGACACTCTGAAGAGCTCTAAAAGTTTGCACAGTGTGACCAACCATTTGCCACAGGAGGAAAAGAACCTCAAAGGAGAGCTGAAGAGCCCAACTGCTACCAAGGCAATCTCTATGGCTGTTCTTGCTGAAGCGAGCAAAGAGGAGTCTAGTAGAGATTGCACATCAAAGAAAGAAAGTAAGAACTCCCCAAGTTTTCTAAAGAAAGGATCCCAGAAACTGCGGTCACTTCTTAATCTCACACCAGACAAGAAGGAAATCTTGTCAAAAAACAAAGGTCCTGCCTTTTATAGGATGTGTAGTAGTTCTGACACTTTGGTTTCTGAAGAAGAGAATCAAAAACCAAAGATCTCTGAAAATAAGACAGATTCTTCCCCAAGAAGAAAGAGAAACACATCAAATTCCCAAGGTAGCTTGAACAGAAGTAAAGAAGATGTCGCTGCAAGCCCATCGAAGTCTCCAAAGTCTCCTAAATCACCAAAGCCTCAAAAACCTCCATCTGATGAAAGCAATAAAAAGTGTCCTGTCTTGTGCCCCCTTGAAAGTAAGTTCATAGAAACTGCAGGAGATGCATCTACCCCAAGATTTAATACAGAACAGATTCAATATCAAGATGTAAAGGAAACTACCACAAATACTACCCCTGAAAGTCCTGCTGTTTGTGCTCTACAAAGAGCAAGTTCAATGACACCACAACTGGCAAGCTCAAAACATCAAGAGGAGCTAAGATCTCGTTTGAGTGAAAGGCGTGTTTATAGTCGCTTTGAGCCATTCTGTAAGATGGAAAATCCTAGTCAACTTGTAGGAAATTTACCAAATAGTTCACATCTTCCAGATATCAAAAACAAGACCTTAGGAAATAACTACGGCAGGAGTAATCACCTGGTCAGCTACAACTCAACTGCTTATCATCCACTGCAGCCTAATGAAAATAAACTGAGGGGATTTATGCAAAAGTTTGGGAACTTCCTACACAAAAACAAATAAAACTTCTGTTGATTATGTTGAAATACAGCAAGAGTAGCAAAGCTGTACATTCTTAACTGGATAAGAGTGACAAGCAACTTCTGTAGAGCTTACTTGGGTTTCTTCAGGGTCTAGGACATTTGAATGAATGTACATACTTTTACATAATTATTCTAGAATTATTATGCTTAAGTCTACAGAAATTCTGTGTCCAGAAGATATCTCAAGAAAGTTGTTTATAGTGTTTATATTGTAAGATTACTTTTATACATTTTCCTTTTGAAGAAAGTATGTGCTGGTAAAAAAAGATGGAGAGTGTTTTTAAACTTCAAATAATACTTTTTCTTAAGATTTGCCCTTTAAAAATAAGATAGCACTAGGAATAGTGGCTTGCATCTTTTCAGCATTTATGTACTTTTTCAAATGTTAAACACAAATGTTAATGCATTGTATGTTACTTAACTTCAAACTCATTTTGAAACCCTCTTTTAGATTCCATCTTGGTAATAATTTACCCCTTAGCATTTATTGAAATGTTTAGGCAGCAGATGGATATTACTTTATTGAATTTTCCATGCAATATGATATTATTCCGAAGTATTTGGCATACAAATCTTAAAGTGACCTTAATCCCATCTTTCTCAGACTTTTTTACATGGCTAAAGTAATGTGAATGTAGGATGAAAGTAAAATATATATATATTTATAAAACAAAGTGCCTTGAAAAGAGCTTAACTGGTTTAAATTTCAATGGATTAATTACATTTGTATAACATGCCAGTATTCTGTAACGTAGTCTAAAAATATTTTTTGTTAGATTTTTCTGTTTGGTGTTTCCAAAAAAAAAAAAAAATGTGGACTTACATTTCCCAGGTAAGTTTTTGAGTTTCACATGTAACTGTATGTTTTAGGTGTTGGCAGATTATGTGCAACTCTAGCTTTAATAACCTTTTTTTTTTTTTTTTTTTGTAATAAGGTTGTAAGTGCTTTAGACTAGGCATATGATGAAGATTGTAAGCTCAGTACTGCAATGCTTAAATTTTCCATGCCCTGTTGCCTTACGTCAGGATAAATGTTACAAGGCCAGGAGCAATTAGGCATCTAAAAATGAGGTTGATGAAAATCACCACATAAATCACTACCTCTCCTAAGCCAAAAAAGTATCAGTGAAGAGCAATAGCAGCACTTGTTTAAACTTAGCGAAGCTGCTTAGGCACCTAACTACAATTTAAGGGGACATATCTGTGTTCATCCAGGTCTTTCAGTCATAAGAATTTTCTTGATATTAAGCGCCTACACCAGATTAGTGCTTACAGAAACCACAGAGAGGGTGATGTGTTTGGGCAGCACCATGGCATCCACTTCTCATTTGCAACCTGTAGCCAGAGCATTCAGCTGGCTCCCAGCCCTCCTTGTTGTGGACTCTATCTCTTAGCAGAGTCCCTTAATGCTCATAGCCATTTAGCTGTGAGATGCTCTGGGACAGTCTTACTCCACTTAAACTCGGTAAGGCTGTTCCACCACACATCAAATAATTACATATTCAGAAGGCTGGAGACAAACAGGTAGACATTTCTCTGATGAGGGCACTCAGCACATTAGAAAAGCATATTCACATCCTTGCCTTGGTAGCACTGCTGCCCCTCTCAGGATATGTTTTAGGCTTGCTTTGAGAACAACTACTAAAAATAAGCTCCACAAGTAAGATCTTGAAAAATACTTTTTTTTTTTTTTAAAAAAAAAAATGATGGTAGTTTATACCTGCAGCAGGCACCATACAGCTCACCACTTTGGGGATTTAGGTAGTATTGTAAATTTTCAACAATAGAAATTCAGAAATCTGGGTGCTGAAAGCATATATATCTTATACAGGGTCTTCATGTTTCTGAGGCATCTTTTAGGAGACCACTTCACTCTTAGATCTGAAAGGTCATGCAGTGTTCTATGGTGGAGTCCCACTCTGAAGGTCTTGGCTCTGTTCTTTAAAAAGAGACACCGGAAAGGCATTTCATTCACCAGCTCAATCAAGTTCATGCTCATCACTGAAAATCCTTGCTGGCTCCCATGAACTCACCGCGGCTGTTGGCAGTGATTTCAGTGAAGCAGTGCAAGCTTTTCATTCAAACTGTTTCTCAGGCAGCCTTATTAGGTTGATGCATTATAGCAATTATTTCACCATGGGGATAGTATTTATTTTTAAGGGTGATTAGATCTGGTGTCTCAATCCTATGCTGAAAGTTTCACTCTCCTCTTTACCCCTGATCATGGAAAACATTTTATGAACTTCTTAACGAACGTTGGTCAGCTTTGTTCACTCCATGCTAAAACGCCATAGCAGGTATTTTTCCTAAATGGCCATTCACACTGAAATATTCTGTCCTGCCAGAGGCAGCGATTTCAGACTCTGATCCCAAGGCAAATGATGTCTCCTTAGTATTCCAGGCATATTATCAGTACAGGCACAACATAATTCCACAGCTACCCAGCAAACAGCAATGCAGCAGTGCACAGCAAGTCCTAACACCTTTTAGCAGGGCAGACAGTTTTTCAGGATGGTGCCTGAATTAACTGTACAGCAAATGAACTTAACTGAGATGCAGGAGGTGCTAAGAATGGTGGAGGTAGGTTTGGGGAGAATATTTAGTTTTTCCTTATACTCTTATGAGCTCTGACATACACTTGTAAGCAATACTAGATTTGGGAAGGAAATGAGGGAGGGAGGACGACGGCCTTCTGGCAACTTTTGAAGTGATAGTTCTTTGCATTTTGTAGTAATACTGGGGAAATGTATCTGATACACTTGGGAAATTTTTTACTCTATTTTCCAGAGTGGGTTGCTAATTATAGAGTCCTGAGAAGCCAGATATTTTAATTTACCAAGTCACTTATTTAGATAGATAGCTATATTTTGTATTTATGCACAGAAGATAAAGAGCCTTCAGTGAAGATCCTGCTCATACACTTAATAATGCAATAAATTAAATGTAGTAGAATTTCCTTTTTCATTTTCAGATACCTCCTCAGAGAACCTGCGTGAGAATGTGTCTGCATTAAGTTCTGATCAAAGATCATATGATCTGAATGAAAAAGACCACCACTGACCTCAGTGGCAGTTGGATCAGACACTTAATGCACTGACACCACTATTTTAGAAGTGTTACAAGGCTGAAGGCTGCTTGGGGAGGATGTGGCTCAGACACCATGGGAACAGCAGCCCAATGCCCTGCCAGCAGCTACTGCTTTAGAGATGGGGGAGCACACTGGGGAGCTCCAAGGACAGCTGGTGCGAGGATCGGCTGTTATTTTGTTCCCTCCAGAATTGTTCATTACAGGTGGGAAAACAGTGCTTGCCCATTCGTGTTGTTTTGCCTCCTGGTTGTGTGGGAACCCAGCTGTTTCAAAAATAGAAAGGAAAAGTGTGGAAAAAAATGTACATGCTCTTTGCATCTGCAAAGAAAAGGGATATGTGTGTGTTTGGAACAGAGGATATATTTTTGATCTTCCTTTTCCCAAAGCTTGTTGTGATGTTTCTGCTTTTGCCAAGGAGATGCACTTTGTTCAATGTGTCCTAAATGTGCTCTGCACATTGCAAATTTGTTACACCCCGCACACACCCAATGCACTCCCAGTTTTGTAAGGCTATGAAGTAATAGTTATTACCATGCGTGACAGTCACTTGGCCAAATGGCTTGGGAGTTGTGAAATGTTGTGTCATTTCCACATTAAATAAAACTCCATTAGCACCCTAATAGATTCAGGTGATCAGAGCTATGCAGTTCTGAATGTGGCTCTCAGGAGCACACAGCATTGGGCAATGCAGCCAGGAGATACAGACCCCGCATACGGTGCACATACAATTAATGTCATAAATAAACCACCCCGATATGTGCTCATAGTATCCAGTGAATTAATTGCTTCATTTCTTCAGCCTTGTAATAAACAGTTTTTACTGCCTCTTGGATTGCAAAATGATGGTTATTTTACTAATGAGCTTATGCAGCACTCTTTTTTCATGCTAAGAAATATGAACTGCTTGTAAAGAAAGGTTAAAAAATAAGACAAATTAAATTTCCAACTGTCTAACACATGAGGGTAGTATTATTTGTCACAAACCTTGAGAAAATAAAAGCTTATCAGGCAATAGATGTTTGTGCATTGATAGGTGCAGGAGCAATACCATTCACAGAAAAAAATAATCATTTTTTTCAACTTTCTGAAATGTGTAAGGAAATGTTGTGGTTTATAAAAAAGTTGTTAGGAAAATAAAACCAAAATCTGTAGACAGGTATTTTAAAAATAAAATGTAAAATGGCTCCACTAATGTGTATGATAAATATATATATTTTTTTTCCATTTGGCATAAGCTGTACAATTGACAAGTATCTGTACAACCACGTAGCACACAGAGATCAGTAAGAACTTATTCCCCAGATCAATATTGTACTGTGCAGCACAATATTTCTAGTGACTTTTTTTTTTGAGTTTATTTTGATTTATGTTAGAGTTAGACCAACATAAATCTGAAGTATTTTGTTCATAATTAAGAGATGTTCCTCCGATTATGTCTTCAGTTGCATGAGTACGTATTCCATTAGCACCCCAGTGACAAGAGAGGAGTCTTCACTGCTCAAATGCCATTTTGCCATTTCATTCTTTCTTTTATGCAGGCTGCTTACAGATATCTTAGTACCTTTCTGTAGAGTCTGAAATTTTTCATTTTCAACTCTTTACTAAGTTTCAGTTAGGTCTCCTTTTTTCACATTCGGACATGATGCCAAAGAAATATTGCATATTGACAACAGCTTTGAGAAACAGAATTGAAACCATTTGCTTTTGGACAGCTCAGAACTGAGCTGCTTTACTCTTAGGCAGAGCTAGTAGTTTGGATTTCTACTGAAGTGACACTGATTTGTTAAGTTTTGCTTCATCACCCTCTTATTTAGAGCAGTCCCCTCCAGGTCAGTATTTAAAAGCAATTTCCATATATTGAAATGCTTTAAAAAGCAGGCAAGTCCTGTTTCTGAAAATCCGGGAGGATTTAGGGTGCTAGATTAGCAAATCAATTATTTGTATATCTTGAGAATGTATTTGCATTTTTCTGGAAGTGAATCTAGTTTAATAAAAAAGACTGGATATCCCTTGAGAAGAAGCTGCTGGATTCAAATAAACAAATAAATGTAAATATAGCTGGGAGGAGGGGGGAATGAAAAAAAAAAAAGAAAAAAAAAAGAAAAAAAAAACATTTCTTGTCTCTCTGAAACAGACAATTTACGACAGTCCAAGAATCATTATCCTAAAGACTAACAACAAGTAGCAATGTTTTGTTTTGTTTGAGAAATGAATGCAACTTATTTGTTAGCATTCAAACACAGGCCTCTTACATGTCTGTTGTACATTGTCTGTTCTTGCCTCATTTAGCAATCAGCATGCTCAAAATGCAGACTGGTTGTCTATAGTTTCCTAAATCCCAGAAAATCCAATGAAGCATTAAACACCCACTTAACTTTAAACAAGAAGAATGGTTTAAACCCTCCTGGGATAAAAAATAACACCAGCCATACATTTTTGTTTTGTTAGATTTTGGTGTCAAAATCTCAGTGTAGTCTTAGCTGATATATTTTGGGAAACAGTTGACTATATAGTTTCATTGTTTTCTTTGGGCCATGTCTAATTTTGACCCATGATGACATCATGGCTGCATTTTGACATCGTGTTGGTCATGTTTCTTCCAAGTCTCACCTATGCTGGTGTGAGAGTATCTTTGCTCATGGTTTCAGGTTCTAATTTTCCTTAGTGCAGAGTCTGTGGATTCCTGATGATCCATAAGATTTCAAAAGGTGACTTGGAAGTGAGTTCAGATTACTGAAAAAACATGACCAGACCAAAAAAAAAAAATAAAAAATCCCATATTTCCACATAAAACAAAGGAAGCAAGTAGAATCAAAAGATTCATGCAAGAGAACATTCGTAATATAATTTTTATCAGTTCAAACAGAGCTGGTATTTCAATGCTGCGGAACTGAAATAAGGACTCAAGTAGTAATAATAATTAGATGGTCATTGAATAAAAAAAGCTGAGGAACGCTGATCTAGAAGATGCAAAACAGTCATGAGGGGTGCTGCAAGCACACAATACCCAGAACAGGTATTACTGAGTAATTTCTGAGGAGAAAAAAAGGAATTCTGTCAAGTTGATTTTAATACTGATATGTTGGTTCCAATACTGGCAGCAACCGACTCTTGGTTTTCATCTAAAATTGTTACTTGATATGTAAATCCTTTTTCTCATATGGAATTCCTGGATTACATAGCAACTATGTAATGGATATACTGTGTATGTACAGATACAAACCAAAAAGTGTCTTGAAATAATTTATTACTTCTATTTTTTACCAAATAAAATGTTTCTTTTAAAGCTCAGCTCATTTGTGTGTTCTTGTTTTCACTGTCTCATATTGTTATTACCATTTTTCATTTCAAAATTTAGAACGTCTTTTAAAAAAGTGGCATCAGATATCTTGAGCAAATTGTAAACAGAGGTCTCAAGGCTGCATGTGGCAGCATCTGTGTTTGCTGAGCTGCTGTACCTTGTACAGGACCCACAGTCCACCCAAACGGAGAAAGGACCAAAGCTGACATCACTTTAATGTCAAATTTCTGAAATAAAATATAAGCAATAAGCTAAAGCAAGAATTAATTAGAGTAAGGTTTAATATATTTTTTATCCCATGTTTACTTTCCTTGTATCACTTCCTTGCTCTGATATTGGTGGGTTTTTTTGCTTCCTGGTAATCCTGTCCTACTCATGATGTCAGGTTGAGTAGTCTTTTCTGTTTCCTGCTTCCATGTCCATCTTAATTTCCTGTTTCCTATTTACATGAATCATCCTTCAGAAGTCTGTTTTCCCTACCCCTTGCCTTACTAGTACCATTGAAAAAAAAACACTTCTATCACATTGCTTGCCAGAATTAGCTTCCAGCAACTTCTCCATGCATGAGTGCACACTACGACTGAATGGCTAATGAGAAATTGATTTTCAGTCACGAATATCTCTTGGTTCCTTTGGAAAACAAGTAGGAAACTAACCTTTCTGAACAGCTTACAGTTTGTACTTAATGGAGGAAGGAAATGAAGAGGAGGAGAGGAAGTGAAAAAAAAACAAAGGTTACAAAACACTGAGGTGGTTACTCAGTGACCACTTATGAAAACATCAATGCTTAGAGTTGTGGTGATGCGTATACAGGCACACATACACATACCTGTATGCATAATGCTGAGGCTCCAACTTAGACAGGAACTTCTACTTATGTAGAAATAAAAGTAAAATTCATCTCATTTAATTGAGCTCAAGCCTTTTCTCAGCTCCTACCTACAAGAACTCATTGTAATTCCCACCTCTTCCTATTCTTCCTGTTTCCCTCACTTACATCCAACCCAACCTCACCCTGCCGGCAACTCTGTCTGCAGCATTCCAGCACTAGTTAAATATTGAAAAAATGAAACCTTTAATTTTCTCAATATATCAAGTGGATCAAACAGGAATCTCTATGCCTATAGCCAAATGAAGACAAGACTGAAGACCACAGGATCTGAGAGTTTCTGAGAGGAAAGTATGTGTATGCCATTCAATATGCAAGTTAAAATATGCCGGTATTTCAGAAAATGTTGAAAAACAGATGAACTAGGTTGAAGGTTTATTGCAGAATTACTTGAATCTCCAAGAACTGGTCATAGCTGAGTTAGAGCTGCCATCCCCGCTTGGTGGATAGGGAGCCTAAGGACCAGAAGTCGCCACTGAAACTACAAGCAGGAGCAGCCATCAGTTCAGACACGTGGTCACCTCGTTCTACCTCCATCCAATGCCAATGCCTTGGCCTTGCCAGTAACACTCATGGCTTGGAAAGCCACTAAACTGGCTCTTGGTTAGCAGACAGACAAGCACTTACTAACTGAAACGCTTCTATTAAGTGCCTCTAAAACTGTTACTTTTTATATTGCACATCCTTGTATATGACAGCTTTTCCCCATATATCTCAAAAATGACTGGCTTCTGTACTGTATTTGAGACACCCAGCTATTTTTTTTGTCCAGGAATGGTGGCTAGTGGCACTTGAGGCATTATATTGCTATAAAAGTCAGTAGGTAATCAGCACTTCAGTAGTTAAAAAGATTAAACAACACTCTCTGTGTGTAATGGCCAGTTTCAAGCCCATCAGACACAGCCTTCACAATTGTTCTTTTTGACTTGCTCTTCAGAATAAAAATATCTCTGTGCTTTCCAAGGTGGGACAGACTGTCAGCTCTTACAGTTTGGTACAGCATTACTGAGGTCCATGAACACCTGCATCCAAGCACTGATGAGGACTCAGTCTATGAATGAAGAGTCAATGAGGCAGCCAGGGGCTGGTGCTCCCAGAAACTCTACATGATGTTTTCCCATAATTAAAAGCACTACAGCAATCAATACAATCAGGTGGCTGCTGCATTAAAGCTTAGCACACTAATAAGTGGCACGCATACCTCAAGATTCGTATCCTTTGTTCCTCATCTGAGCAGAGCAAGGATTTAGGGGAAAATACACAAGAAACTGGAGGAAAAAAAGAACTGGAGAGATCAGAAGCCTGTTTGTCAGAAAATTTTATTCTCACACCCCACATAAAGAACATCTGTCACCGGTTACTTGATAATTAAGAAAATAAACTGTGCTTTTCTAGTTATGTTACTGAAAACCACCACTGGATGGTCCCTGCACTGCAAGTCTTTAGCGGTGGGGGCAATTTGCTGTAGAAATTCTTGTTTCAGTCAAGAAGCTCAGAGCAGCAGAGCCCCTCTGCAGTCGTCCAGAGGACCGTGCCATCATCCTTCAATGTTTTAAATGACCAGGCAGGGACAGGATCACAAGTCACGGATCTAAAGGAGTGTCCTCACTTTTTGGAAGAATAAGACACAAGAGAGAAGTGTGCCTCCCTCTACAGAATTTGAGAATGTCTGTGGCAGTGTACTCTTCCTAGCCCTCTTACCTGTCACCTGTAACCCTGCCTAGGTGATAGCCATAAGTAATGGCTATGATGAACACGTCTAGTCATGACAGCTGTTATCCGCCCAGGCTCCGGGTGGATTCTGAAGAGAGAGATCCAAGGGCATGCACCAGCCAGATATGGCTGGTACGCACATATGATGGTAGTCAGTCATCTTACCTCATAAACGGGACAGCCTCGAGCCTGTTGAGCTCCCCTGTACTGCAGTGGGCTGTGTGCCAGGATCTTACCCTGGAGAAGGGACGACTCTTAAGGTTATTCCTTGAGGTTGAGAGATTCCTTACCTGTGACAGATACTCTGTAAGTGACTAATAGGTAGCTTGTTGAAACTTTGCAAGTAATTTGCTAAGCAAGCTGAAACTTTGTAATCCTAACTAAGGGATATAAAGCATTGATTGTGCATGCAGTCCTTCAGGCATAAACCATCAGGTTTGGGATGGGAATAGGATCTGGTTGTATCTAGGCTTCTCAGAGTTTCGAATGGCAAAAGAGACCCCATTCTGAACCTCATGACTCAAGGTGAGGGTCTCCCTGATGCTTTTAGTCTGACCATGTCCTCTATGCAGTAAATAATAAGTGACCTTGCCATCACAAAACTTGGTAATGTCACATTTGCCATTAGAACTCTGTTAAATCTCCATCCTATTCACGATTAAGTTTTGCTAAATCACTATTTTCCTCAGTAAATATGTTGACCATTCTCTCTTACAAGTGGAGTGCATAATTCGTTTCATGACAATATCCGCAACACTGGATGTTTTTAAGCTCTGTTTTTGTTTGGTTTTGTTGTGTGAGAAACACTTGGCAGTGTTCACACTGCTGCTTCTAGTGCACAGGGCCTGTGCACTACCGATTGGTTTTACCTCTCTGTCAAAAACAGGTAGGCTTGAGTTGCACCTCATACATTGGTCTTCTAAACCACTTTTCACAGCCTGGTTTAATACCCTCTTTATTGCACTATTATTCATACACCCATCTGTGGGATCTACACTGAGAAATATTTTTTCTGTGGAGTATCACTTGTTACAGAGCTGATATTCGTTGTCAAGGCTCACCTGATTTTGAAACTTATATGTTTATGTATATATATATATTTCCAGTTTGATTAGCTCCAAAGACATCAAATATATTTAACAATGTTCTGCAGTTTAAAAGAGAAGACTTTCTCAGCAGAGAATTTACAGTTTATAGTATTTAGGTTGACAGACGATATATAATTCAGTTCACAACACTAGAATTTATTTGAATTATTTTCTCGTCAATTATAACAGTGCTAATCTCATGACCTTGAGAGACTGATTAATAGCAAGTTAACTTGATAGTTGACAATCTGAATGCAATCAACATCTATTTCATTCCTGAGCAGAGGAAGTGCAAAGGGAGAATGCTATGCCCTTGGTAGCCGATGACAGGACACATGAGAAAGGAACAAAGCTATATTAGGGCAGGTTCAATTTGGACATCAGGAAAAGTTTTTTTTACTGTGGGGGTAAAACAGTGAAGTAAAACTGTGGGAGGCTTCCTAGAGAGGTGGTTGATGCCCCATGCTTGTCAGTGTTCAAGAGGTATTTGGATAATGCCCTCAATAATATGCTTTGAATTTTGGTTAGCCCTGAAGTGGTCAGGAAGTTGGACTAGATGATATTGGTAGGTCCCCTCTGAGTGAACTATTTAATTCTATTCTATTCTATTTACATCATTTATTTGAGCAGGCACTATTTAACCTCATTAAAAAGAGTGAGCATTACATTTCTTTATAAACCTGCATAAAGATCTAGAACACACAATCTTTTAAAAATTAGTAGGGAAACAATATTATAAATCTCTCATGCTCCACTTAGAAGTAAAATACAAAGAATCATTGCAGGGATTTGGAAATTGAAGTCCCATTTTCAAAACCACTGAGATAGATCAGATTTTTCTTTCTGGGTTGGAGAATTAAGCCTTTCATCTGGATTTTTTATAATTTGTAGACAAGCATATATTGAAAAGGTAATCCTACTCAATTCTCACTGTTGTTTAGGGGAGATAAAAAAATGTTTTTAAAATCTTTAAGGTTTTAAAATTACTTGGGTGATTTTGATGCCGTCAGTCACACATTAGACGTCCCAGGGATGCACTTCAGAGGGGGCTGCTTTCCAGAGAATAGCATAATGAATTTTGGTTATATGGACAACTCAGAGATTTTATTTTCAAAAAATGCATTGGCATCTTCAGATGACAAGTCTTAGAAAGTCTGAGTAATAAATAAATTAATTAAATATAAATATATAAGTTCAAACACAAAAAATACATTTATTAAAAAAAGAAAAAAACTTAATTTTTCATTCCCCAAGATCAAACACATTCTATTACTTAATAAATCCTCTTTCTTTGAATTTT